CTGCATCAGTTGTAGTTATCCCTGCAATGTTGCTATTGTATGTCCATCTTTGTTTAATGGGTAGGCTGTTTACATATGTTACATATTTCTGCCTTTTTGTTCAGAATTTTAGTTGGAAAAAATGAGTCTACAAACCCTGCCAGGTTATTTTTCCAAAATATTCCCAGTTATGTTCTCTGATTTTAGAATTTATAAACATTAGTTTATAAAATCTACGTAAGAAGCTGATTGGGTCTCTGGTCTAAATGTTTTTAGAAGCGATATTACTCAGAAACAGGCATATTGTAAGAAAGGCTATTTGTATCTTCAGATTTAACTGTTCTTTTCCTAATCTAACTATGATTTTGTAATTAAAATGCTCCTTAAAAATTAATTCTGGATAAGTTTATAATCCTCTCCCGATGTCAGTCAGCTTTTTAGAGCTCATTTAGTCATTTCAGATTCCCAGCTGCTGGAGTCCACACTGTATGCCCTGGACATCAATAGCAGGGGTAATTTTCATCCTCCAGTCGCCACAAGGGATGCAGGAATCTGCATTACCACCAGCAGCACTTTGCTCCTCACACTTTGCTCCTTGCAACACTTTGGGGCTGCTGCTCCTCTTCCCGAAGGCAGCAGGCCTTTAGTGGGAGGGAGGAATGGAAGGGATGCTACTGGCTCTCAGCCCCTGCTCCCCACTCCTCGCAGCATCCTCCAGTCACCTCAGCTGAACGGAGGAAAAGGAGGAGGAGGCAGGGCAACAGGTGGTGTTGGCTTTCCTCCTATCCCTTGGGAAGTTGCTGATCAGACTTGGCGCCTGGAACAGGCACTTTTCTTGTGCTGTCCTGCAGGATTATTATGTGCCCTGACAGTGCTTTGGAACTGTTCTGCTTCAAAGTAATCTCATATTTTTATTTGTTTTTAAGAGAGTTTTAATTAATTGCTAAAGCAAGACAAATAAATTCATCCCCTTTTTCTTATATCAGCTGTTCTGAAGATCTTGCTTCCTTGATCTCAGAAGCTACGATTTTTTAAGACCTGACACAATGAGAACGGAATGGTATCAAATAATCTCCTCCCTTTTGTGTTGCAGGCTTTAAGTTGTACAACTCAAACAGCTCCTTCTGTCTTGATTTCTCTCCCTCTTTCTGAGTACCATATTATTTTGCAGGTATCTCAAGTTCAAGGCAAATTTACCATGGTAACCAAAAAAACACTAGCAGAAATAACAGTATTATCATTTTGCGACCTGGTAATTCACTCCATCTTAATGTTTCTGTGATATATTTTGCCTTTTCTACCTGTGGGTGCAGCAGTCATGAAGTGCCCTCACAGAACTGCTGTTGGGAGCCTCAGTGAATTTTCTCCACAGTTCTAAGATATCAGTACTGTAAGATTAGTGAACTTTATTCTGGTTACTGTATTTGATTATACTATCTAAAGAGTTGATGAGGGCAATAAAGATCAACTGCAGTGACTTAGCTGGCAATTTTATTTTTGCTGAACAAAGTTTTTAAAGAAGTTACAGTGTACATCCAATAAAATGAATTCAACATCAATGCATTTCAACCATGTTGTGTTAGGAAACTGGAAACAAATAGCTGAGTGTGATGGCCAGTTTCCAGCCATTTCTTAACTGTAGCAAACTTTTTTTCATTCTGTTTCATTTCCTCATTTTGGATATTGCTTCTTTATTTCACCCATTTCTGGGAAGAAATAGTAAAAAAAAAAAGTATCAGTAACCCAATGCAACATCTTGCAAACTGTTTTTTCAAACGTATGTATTGAAATTTGCCAAAATCACATTCTTCATATATTTTAGCTTTAAACAAATAAAAAATTATTTACAACTATACACTGTTTCCACCACATATTCTCCAAGGTATATTCTGCATACAGCAGAAGTCATAGAATCATAGAATGGCCTGGGCTGGAAGGGACCTTAGAGATCGTTTATTCCAACTTCCCTGTCATGGGCAGGGATGCCACCTCTCAACTAGATCAGGCAACACATGGGGACCGAACGGCGATCAAAACCGTGACCTTGGTGTTATCAGCACCACGCTCAACCGACTGAGCTAACCGGCCCCCTAAGTCTGTAATTTTCTCTTTTAAACATACATAAGATTATTCTTGTGGTTATCTTTCTTCTGCTTTTGTACTGGCCTTAGTTATTCATGGAGTGACCAATAAGGTTAGACCCCTTTCACAAATAATATTATGGGAATACACTGTCAAAAGGTAGGCTTGATGGAGTGGGAATTAAATCTCCTGGCAGAGACAGAGGATCCTGTGCAGGCTGGTGGGGACCTGACAAGTCCTCAGCCTCTGCCCAGAGCAGGCTCAGCTGTAGTCCCCGACCAGCCTGCTCAGGGCTTCAGCCTGTCAAAGCCTTAAACCCCCAGGGATGGAGACCCAGCTCCACTGCTGAGTTGTCCTCATGGGGAGGAGTCTTCTCCTTACCTTCAGCCTCTCGTGTTTCAGTTTATGCCGCTGCCTCTCGCCCTCCTGCTATGCACATGGCGCTGTGAGAGCCCAGCTCTGTCTCCTCCTTCCTCTCTGTCAGTGCTGGAGATGCTGTTAAGAATAGTTTCATTCCCAAGTTCTCCCATCTTTTGACACAAACATATGTGTTAATTTCTCTCAACCTTGTCTACCTCAGAACCATACCAATATAAGGCAAACACTGAATTAATGAAAATTAAATCATCGTAAATCTAGGTGGACTTATATTTGATCTTACGTAAGCCAGGCTGTACAAACAGATCAGGGGCTCTTGCCTTCCGTTACTCAGAAGCGCAGTTCCTTATGGTCTCTCTTTCTAATGACACACTGTCCTGAACTACTTGAAGGCAGTGGAAGGCACAGGGGAAGGAGCGTCCATCCCAGGTCTTGTCAGAGGTATGCCGAATGTGGGAGATGTATGTTTGAGCTGTACTGCTGCTGTTGCATTTGTAGTGACCAAAGGAGCTGGGTAAGTCGGGTGAAGGAGGAGTGGATAGTGTGCCCTCCAGCATTTCACCACCTGGCTTACAACTAATAGTGTAACTGTCTTCACAGGTATCTCATGAAAATGTAATAATTAAAAATATATTCAGCGTTGCGATCTGTTGGCACAGTATTTCTAGGTGAGATACGGTTCTGCTCTTCTTCAGCTTAGTTGCTAGCTAAACTGCTTGCAGTTTCCGCAGGCTTTTTGCTTTGTGCCTTGAATCAGTTTGCAACTTGATTTATTTCAGAGCGCTGTAGCACAAGTTCTGTATCTTCGTGTGATAGTTGTTAGCTGTAATTGCTGAGAGATAATTCTCTAGAAGAAACATCCAGTCAGACAAAGGAAATAGCATAGTGTTTATGGTATTTGTTTACAGCAGAAATTGCACTCTTAGTGCATTTTTCTGTGTGACATTGGACTAGTGAGCAAGTTAAATGATAGCCAACTTACTGCCTTAAACTGCATTTGGAGTTAAGCAAGAGAATTCATTACCATTAAAAAAAAAGTTATTAATGTGTTTGAATTCGGCAAGAATATGGCCTTCTCTTTCAAAATGCACTCTGTCTTTCATCAAACTTCTGGTTTACAAGTGTAGAGGAAGATCTCTACAGTGTTAAAACTCTCACTTGAAATAAACGAACAAGTGCATCTGCCTGGAATAAACTGTGTGGGAGGAGTACTGGAAAGTGGAGGTGCTCACTGCACTTTAGAAACTTTGCCCTGAATGTTGCTGAGTTGAACTATAACAAACACATGACTTGAGTGTCCAGAAAAAAATTACGGTTTACCAAAACCAAGAAATTAATCTTTATACATTAAATGTAATAGTAACACTGAGTAAAACACAGAGAATAAATGAACTTTGAAGTGAGAACTGAGGATGAGTAAAAAAATAACTTAGTGTTTAGGTATGATGTGACTGTGGAAGAAATTAACTGAAAACCATTGGACTTAATGAACTCTTTATACATGGAATGCAATAGTAGTACTTCGAGTAAAAAGAAAAGGAAAGGTGAGTTTTGACATCAGAGCTAAAGCTATAATATCTTTGTTTATGGCTGCAGAAGAAATAAATTCAAAACCTAATTATTTGCCACCAGTGATTTGGTGGTTTGTAGCCCCATATTCTGAAGTCTATTTTTCACGTATATTTTTCACGTATATTTTGTAAACATATATTTTTGGCGGATGCTGGTTAGCGTTATTAATTGACTATTAGGAGCAAATTGACTTTAATTTTTGCACAGCCTTCAGGACAGAGAAGTATGTAGAATCAAGAACAAAGACTAAACTATAGTTGGGGAAAGGAGTGTAAATACTTTCTGTCTGAACACTTCGAAACAATTCTGTTGTAATCTTTCCAAGCTAGGCTGGCACTCATTTAAAAGTTAATCTTAAATGGAGTTTCTTAAGCTAGAAATACTGTAGTCATGCTTCTTTTTTTTTTTTTTCTTTAAATAAACTGGTGAAGCATACTAAAATTTAATTAGAAGAACTGTTTCATTTTATCAGCTATTCAGGGAAAATGTGAGGAAATAACGTTTTTTAATATTAAGAAATTACTCCTGGGTTCTTGGTGTGAGCCCCGCTCCTGCAAATATAGTTCTCATAGAAACACTAAATCCTAGTTGTGCATGGCTATGACTTCATCCAGTGCTGATTCTGCAAGGTTTAGCTAATAAAAGGTGCCTTCTGAGAGAAATTTTAATACATGTGCAAGAGTCGAAAAGGGCACCATAAGCCACTCATCTAGAGCAGTTTCTGTCACTGTTGTTTCCATGTTGGTTGAAACCCTCATATTCTTCAGTTGTTGCATTTTTCAGTATTTTGGCAGAATTTAAACTTCCTCAGAATATTTTACTAGCCTATTATTTTATCTTTACTCTTCTTGGTTTGTGCTTTATTCTTCCACTGTTTATACTTGCATCACCAATGTTGCATGTTTTTTTTACACAGGGGTACAAGTCGTTTCAGTTAAAAGCTGCTAGCATTGTATGTAACTGTAGTTTTCTGAAATTCTTTTCAATTAGGTGAAAATGAAATCCTTGAAACACTATATGGTATTGCAAGCAAGAACAAGATATGGAGGTCTTATATAGGCATGGGTTATTACAACTGCTCGCTGCCTCATCCCATTGCACGGAATTTGTTGGAGAACGCAGGATGGTAATGTACCACATTTGTTTTTAAAAGCATGTGTATAAATATACATTTGAAGTTCATCTTATGAATAAGCTTAGACAAATAGACCCCAAAACTGTTTTTTGACCAATGCTTTCATATATTTGATACTAATGTGCATGCTACTGTATAGGAACTGTATTGTTCATGCTGAAGCTAGAGGGGATAAAAAGACTACTTTTGTCTTTAGAAGATGGTTTTTCTCTAGAGTGTTTCATTGATTTTTATGAATACTATCCACATCTCCTATTCATTGTGAACAAAACTAAGAATATTTGTTTGCTTTAAAGAAGCGTATGGATTTAAATCCTAAACTAAAGTAATTTTTTCCTAACTTCTGCCTAAATTTAAACCAACTCCCCCCTCCCCTGGTGTATGCAATTTTGGGTGGAGGTAGTTAAATATTATGCAATACTCTGATTATGGTTTTCTTAGGAGGAAGTAAGAAGCCTTGGATATTTTAAAGGCTTTTCTCTTGGTAATTCTTTCTTGGTTGTTTTTTTTTTTCCAAAACCACAGAACTTTGAGAGTTTGATTGTGTATCCCTGAAGTATGTTATTGTCTGAACGAATAATTCACTTGTGCCTGAAAACAGGTAGACAGCAATAATTGATAACATTTAGGAAGAAACTGAGAATGTACTTTATTCTCATCACGAAGCTCACGTTTCAGTTTTTTGGGACAGGCAAAAGAATAGTCTGTCTGACAGACTTGACTTTTAATGTGCTGGTCTGGCATTTGATTTGTATCTTATGAACAGCATTAATTTAAATAAGAATGTCTGTCCATGGGCTTCTGCTGACAAAAGCACTAAGGCTTGATTGTAAATACTCATTTAGCATTGACATTTCTCTAAAGAAAGGTAACTCAAAACTGATGCAACAGACTAACTATAAACTCAATGTGGAGTGTCACTTTCCAACAGACTGAATGCAGCTAATACCCTGCATTGTCTCATTTGCTTTAGAAGTTCCCTTATCTCTAGTCAGTAACATCCTTTTTTTTTTTACTGTGTTGAAATAACTGAGTAAATTTTATTTTAATAAAAGCTTATTCAAAGCTTAAATATATATATATACCTACATATATATATAATAAAAAATCCTAACCTAACAGTGTCAAAAGCCATTGTTACTTGGACCCTGTATTTTTTATACTTTGGGTTGCTGTGAATGGGCTTATGTTTCCGGAGACTTCCAATTCTATGTTAGACTTGTGTGCTCTAGGAGAATCTCAAACTTTTGAACTCGTGAAAAAGTTGCACTGTTTGGACTCGAGGAATCTGTGCAAGGCTTCTATATAAAGTTTTATTTGGCCTTATCTCCTCCCACATTTTGCAACATAGGCAATCTAAGTATTTCAGTACAGTGCTACAAAACAAATGATCAGTTGCTAGAGGCAAAAAAATGACAATTAAAAAGTGGGCCAAAATGAAGTGCACATTTTTAAATCCTAAAAAATTGTATAGTGTTAATGAAACAATTGAGAGAGTCTATAGAGAAATCTGTTCTTGGAGCTGCCAATAAAGTACAACTAGATGTCTAAAAGCTAAACTTTTAGATGGCTAAACTGAAGTCTAAAATATTTGTTGGGGAGGTGGTGTCTGTGTCTGTATGCAAAAGCAGCTATACAGGTGTTATCGAAGGTTTTTAAGAAATCAAACCTCTCTTAGCGTCTCCCGAATGTGTACTGCCTTCTGTGCCGACACACTTTTAACATTGCCATTGAACATTGCAGGAAAATGCCACCAGCTCAGGCTTATTTTTGCTGATCAATTCTGCCTCTCTCATGTGACGCATAGTTTCTCACGGCTTGGCATTCATTAGAGCAAGGCTTGTTTTGGTATACAATGTAAGTTTGTAAAAGATTGGTCATAGAAGTCTGTGAATACAAAAGTGAAGGATTTCACACTATTTAGCATGCTTGGACTTGCTAGGAGGGTCTAAGAAGCAAAGGGGTAAATTTCATGAAGAAACTGTTTAGAACAAAATGTGTTTTCAGCTGAAAATGAACCTACTGACTGACACCACTTTCTTTAGAAGATTACTGCAGAAGTCTTACCAAATCTCAGATTCTGTTAAGAAAATACTCAGCACTGTTGGAGTGTTTTTTAAGTGTTTGGACAATGTTCTACAATATCTCTGTTCACAATGAGAGCTGAATAGCTCAAGTGCTGGGAGATAAAACTGTCTGACCAAAACTATGCACTATTAAGTGCCTGGGAAGTCAACATTCAGGAATTTCTTGTACTGGCAGCTTTAGAAAAAGCATAGGCATCCTTTTCTTTTAAGTCTGAATCTCATTTTTTACTACTTCTGTATTCATGAAAGAAGTTATTTCAGAACACTGGGGCCAGAAATTTTTCAGATAACTTTTCATCCAAAGAATGCTGTGATTGAAAGTTAGAGAGCAAGCAGAGAAATTTCCTTTGTGGGCCTGAAGTGCTGCAATTAAAATTCCAGTCTCCTATGTGAGGGAAGTGACTTAGGCACAGAAGGTGGAGGATAAGCATCCCTTATTTTTTTGATACCTGCAGATGTCTAAATCTGCAAGAAAATAGTTTATAACAGAAGTATTGTATTGATTATGAATACTTTAACTTTCCAGAGGTTTGGTCAAAGTAGAGAAAAAAATCACTAAAGAAGATCTGTGGTGAACTGTTTGCCTAGCGCTTACTGTATATGAAGAAATAAATTGGGATTAGTCTTAATGTGTAGTCCGTTTGTTTTGTTGCTAAATCTAGAAGAAACCCAACATCCAAATGTGAAAACTTCTGCTCCTTCATAAACTAGGTCTTTTGACAAGTAGCTTGATGTTCAGCTGAAAGCATGATTCCTAGATATTTCTTCCTTTGATTGCAGGTTCTCTTTTAAAACTTTCACTGGTATCTTAAAGCTGGTATTCATGCAAGTATTTTTGAGAGTTGGATGATGAAAAGAGTGAAACATTAAACTAAAAGAAAGAGTTATAAAAGCTAAAAAAAAATGAAGCTACTTACTACTGAACTTATGAGGATCAGACACAGGCTCAAGAAAGATGCCATAAACTTCTTATGGAAGGTTTCTTCTGTGTCATGACCAGTCTGCCTTAATTAGCTTGAGAGCATTTGTCTGCAGAAGGACTTACGGTCAGGACAGAGCTGGCCGGAGATCATATTTTCATGTGATTTGATTCAACAAGAGGCAGTTTGTAGTTAGGTTCCTTGCCATAATATTAACTCTTCCTTTTCAATTTAATATTGTTGGTACTGGACTTGAAGACATGCAGAATAGCCACTTGAACGAACCTAAACAGAACAGAAAGGGGTTTGAATGAGAGATGGTTTAGTGTGCTTTTTAAAGATCTGATTTATGTAGAAGTTTACTTTAGAAATTACTTTTAAAGAGTTTAAATTACTTTTAAAAATCACTTAACATGTATAGTATAGTTCAAGGCAGAAGTCAAGAATGCGGGCTATAGCCACCTATTTTATTTGAAGAAATTGTGCAGAGGCCGAATTATTATATGAAAAGATTTAGATGTTTAGACAGTGCCAGACAACCTTTAAAAAGCAACGTATTAAAATAAAAGTTTTTATGTTATAAGAGATGTCTTTACCTTACAACTGTTAAACTTCATGCACAATAGTTTGCAGCAATACTGGAATTTAAGATCTCTTGGTTGAATTTTTTTATATTGTTCCAAAATTGGTTGGGTTTGCTTCAGCTGGTTTTACCGTTCAAAATCATAATATCAAAATCACAAAGTTTCATTAATTCTGTTTTTTAGTATAGTGTATTATCCCAACTGTCTGGGGTAGGATTGAGGTTATTCAAGGGAATCATCAAATTAACAGCTACTTGGTAGCAGTTTAAGAATGCATTTATTTATTCACTTTACAAAATATAAAAATTTCATTTAAAATTTAATTTGAGCATAAAATAAAAGTGGAATTTCTTGAGGCTTTTTAAATAGATTTCTGGGTTGCTGATTTGTGTGGTCTGCCTTGAAGCATTCATTGCAAAGCCTCTCTCAAACTATGTAAGAACATCTTAGAAAATCTTAGAAAATGAGGTTCTTCTCAAGTAAGGAGTTTTGTACATTACTCACATCTTAAGAAAGATGCTTTGTCTCTTTGTAACTCTTCCATTCTCTTCTGTGGGACTTTTTTCCTACATTCTCGTTTGCATTACCATTTTATTGCTTCTCTCATCTTACTTTGTAACACAGGTTCTGCGGCTTGTTTTTACAAATTTTTGTTACTCACCTTCTATTGACTTTTAACTTGTTCAAACTTCAATTTGAGTTTCCAAATACTTCAGTCTCTCTTTGAAGATCATGTCTTCACCTACAAGCATTTTTCAGAAGTCTAAGGCTTACTACCACCCTTTCAGAGAACAGTTATTTTCTTCCATTGCTAAAAACCAGAGGCCCTGAGTTGGCCCACTTACCACTTGTTTCTGGCCACTGCTCTGAATTCAAACTCATGTAAGGTCAAACCATCATGTAACCCAATACCCAAACGTGCAGAAGTGAGAGGAGAGTCTGATCTCTGTTCTTGCCTTTCTTCCCTGGACCCATGCTGCTTTGTTTTTCTGGACTACTATGATGGAGTGTTTCGCTTAGGCTGTTGACTTTTCTAAGAAGCTGCATATGTTGTCTCCAAATGACAACTCATATCAGTCTCACTTCCCTTCACTAACATGAAAACTGTAATTTCACAAAAAGTTGCATATTTCTGAGCTCGATCCTGTGAAATGCTGGGAGCCTTTCCTCCCAGAAGCATGGAGAAGACTTGGCAATTGAAGGACTTCAGAAATTATATTGAAAGATACTGGCAACACCTAGACAGGATTGAATTAAGCATTCTTATTGGCATATTATCACCTGAGTCAATTCTCAGACACTCAGTGCTACTTTCCCTCTCCCTTCTCCAAGGTGCACTCACACCCACACACGCATCTGTTTTAGAAGTTACTTCTCTTTTCTAAGTGGAGGAATAGAATTCTTCTGTAAAAACCAAGTCAATATGAAGAGAAAATATTCTCGGTTTTCCAGGACAGTTATACATACAGCCTTCTAAAATAACTGTTTTCTAACAAACTTTCTTTTTAGTGAATTACACTTTGCAGTTTATTTTTCCAATGATGTAGTTTGTTTACGTATTTCTGTCATTCATTTTCCCTGACACAAACTCAGAACTCTTTTCTTCCAGGGTTACCCAGTATACTCCTTACCAACCTGAGGTCTCCCAGGGCAGGCTGGAAAGCCTGCTAAATTACCAGACTATGGTATGCGATATCACAGGAATGGATGTGGCCAATGCATCCTTGCTGGATGAGGGTACAGCTGCTGCAGAAGCCATGCAATTATGTCACAGGTACTATGCGTAAATGTATGGTTAAATCATAGCAGGAAGGTATTCTGGAGTTTGAAAGACATCTCTCCTGTTTAGGCATGAATAGATGAATGAGTTGAAGTTTTCACTGTGAGCATGTTGTAGCCCATGTTGTTAAGCCACCAGAGTTCTCAATGTTGATGTGAACGTCAGACATCTAAAGCCTTAAGAAATCCAAGAACCTGGAGACTGGGGTGAAGTAGAGCAAGAAGACTGGCCCTTGGTCGGTGAGGTTCAGATTAGAGAATACTGGACGCGCACAAGTCTGTGGGCCCTGGTGTGATGCCTCCTTGAGTGGTGATGGAGCTGCCTGATGCCATTACAAGGCCACTCTTGATTATCTCTAAACAATCGTGGTGACTCGGAGAAGTGTCTCAGCACTGGAGGAAAACAAATGTCCCTCCTGTCTTCAGGAGGGGCAGGAATGAGGATGCAGGGGACTAACAGCCAGGCTGCCTCATTTCTATCCCTTGAAGATAAGGAAACAAATCTGAGAAATGACTGAACGTAACTGTATGGTTGTGTGTCAAGAGGGAGATTACACAGCAAAGACTGTGTTGTAACTATTCAGTTGCAGAAAGCGTCAGTCTGTCATAAAATCACATTTACCAGAGAAAACTAGGCAATTATCTCAGTCTCCATTTTACTACTTCAATGACTTGTGTTTGGTTATCCAGGGCAACACTGAAAATCTGTGTTAAAGACCACAGTTGTATTCCTTTAAAAAAGCATGTATGGAAGAGTATGTGGGGAGGCATTCCTACAGCTTCTTAAGTTGGCTGCTTGTTCTTTTTCATGGTCTATTTTAATTTTTGTGACATATGAATCTGATCTGAGTGTCTGAAATGAAATTTCTTGTTTTGAATGGACCAGAACCTTCATTCAGTCTAACTCTTAATGTGGTTATGATAACCAAAATTTAGAACTGCCTTTTAATTTAGGAAAACTCATATTTAGAAAACCAATTAATTTTATTTCCATGGAAAATAATATATTCTTTATATGTAACCCTTTTTTTTCCTTTTATTTTTAACAGGCACAATAAAAGAAGGAAGTTCTATGTAGATGCCCGATGCCACCCTCAGACTATAGCTGTCGTCCAAACTAGAGCGAAGTAATGTTTTTCTCCACTTTCCACCGTATCTTTTCACTTTACATTGAATCATTATCTCTGCCTCTTCACCACATACCTAACATTTTTGGAATATAGAATTGTGCTTTCTTTGCAAAATAGAAGCAGAATTCTGTCAACACTTGGCACTGGTTCTAATTTTGCATTCAAATACAACTGCAAAGTAATTAAAGGTATTTAAAAAGACACTAAACATCTGCTAAAAAGAAAATATTCACTTTTCTCCTGAAGTTGGCCGTGCAAATATATATCTAGTTATTGAATTCATTATTTTTTTAACTAGGTAATTAATTACGCTAGATAGCAAAACTCTTTTAGCGAAAGCTAAATTAATTTCTAATTTAGAGATTAAAATAATGCTCCTTTAAAAATATGACTTGATTCTCAAAGTTAAACATGCTAAAGCAGCAGAATGTTGATATCAGGTAGCTTATGCATCTTCTGCTCTGCTTTGCTCCATATTTCCGATGATGATATCATATGCAACTATTGTTCATTACTGTATATCACCACATGAAACTTTCTCAATATGTAGCACTGTGGAACATGTTCAGCTCTCTGTATGTTAAAGAGAAGAGTCCATGGAAACATCATATTAAGTATTACTCCAAGGCAAGAAGTGAATATGTTGTCTTCTGCATGTTTTTGTTTCCCAGTTACACAGGTGTTATTACTGAGCTCAAATTACCCCATGAGATGGATTTCAATGGAAAGGATGTCAGTGGGGTATTATTTCAGTATCCGGACACTGAAGGGAAGGTGGAAGACTTCTCTGAACTTGTTGAAAGAGCTCATCAGAATGGGGTAAAGTAAATTTTGTTATTCTCACATATTTCAGTCTGATGCATCAGACAGCCAGGGTTACAGAAACTGTTACCTGAGATTTCATCTAAAGTACTACTCTTCAGCTCCATGCAGTTGATAACCTTTACAACCATTACAACCACTGCATCTCAGCTCCGCGCAAATGATTCTGAGTTGTTTGAGGCTGTTTCTTGTTCAAACGTAGATCTCATGCAAAGAGGCTGACTGCTCTGTGCCCTTCTTTTCCCAGACTCTCGCCTGCTGCGCTACTGATCTTCTGGCTCTCTGTATTCTGAAGCCTCCTGGAGAGTTTGGTGTAGATGTTGTCCTGGGTAACTCCCAGAGATTTGGCGTGCCACTCTGCTATGGGGGACCCCATGCGGCATTCTTTGCTGTCAAGGAAAATCTAGTGAGAATGATGCCAGGCAGAATGGTGGGTGTTACAAGGTAAGGACTCCCTTCACCATTAGTTCCTTTGGGGAAAACAAAAATAAAATACATTATGACCATCTTGTGCAGCCTTTGTGAATAACAGATGAGCATGGTGTTGTACCGAACACATTGTTTTGTGAAAACTGGGAGAATAGAAGTTGCCTTCAATTTTTAGGAAGCAAGCTGAAAGAGTTGCACTTGTATGGAATGAAGCTGCGAACTGCTTGTACTGCTTGCTGTGATGTGGGATGCAGAGATAACAAAAACGGCAGAAAGGATTGCGATGGCTTGAGGCTTTGCACACTAACTTGTTCTGCTTATTCCGTACTGTTATACCTTTTTCTCTGGCATCCAGTTGTTAAAAACAGAAATGGGAAAAAGTAGAAAATTCAGTGAGCCTCCCAGAAAAGCTATGGTACTTTCTGCTGGACTTTTTGGAAGTTTTTGATCACAGAATCACAGAATGATAGAGATTGACAGGGATCTCTGGAGTGTGTCTAGTCCAATCCACCTGCTCAAGCAGGGTGGCCTAAAGCCAGTAGCCCAGGACTGTGTCCTGTTGTGGGTTGAAAACTTCCGAGGAAGGAGGCTCCACAATTTTTCTGGGCAAGCTGTGCTAGGGTCAGTCACCCTCACAGTGAAAAGGGGTTTCCTGATGTTCAGGAGGAACCTCCTGTGTTTCAGTTTGTGCCTAGTGCCTCTGGTCCTGTCGCTAGGCACTGCTGTTAAAAGCCTAGCTCTGTCCTCTTTGCACCCTCCCTTCAGGTATTTATATATATTGATGAGGTCCTCCTTGATGCCTTCTCTTTTTCCAGCTGAACCATCCTGGCTTTCTCTCAGCCTTTTCTCATAGGAGAGATGCTCCAGTCCATTCAGCATCTTTGTGACCTTTTGCTGGACTCTCTCCAGTATGTCTCTCTCTCTCGTGTACTGGGGAGGCCCAGAACTGGACATGGCACTCCAAGTGTGTCCTCAGCAGCACTGAGGAGAGGGCAGGGATCACCCGCCTTGGCCTGTTTGCAAGGCTTTGCCTAATGCAGCCCGAGGTGCCGTTTGCTGCCTTTGCTGCCTGGGCACATCGCTGGCTCATGTTTAACTTGGTGTTCCCCAGTAATCCCAGGGTCTTTTCTGCCCAGCTGCTTTGCAGCTGGGCAGCTGCCAGTGTGTACAGGTGTGCGGGGTTCTTCACCAAGTGCTGCACTGTGCACTTCACCTTGACCTTCATGAGGTTCCCGTCAGCCCATTCCAACAGCCTGTCAAGATAGCTCTGAATGAACTGATGGTAAACTCAGCTGTATACTCAAAATCTACAAACAACTGCTAGAGCAAAAAGTGATTTAAATATCACATAGCTGGTGCTCAAGTAGTCTGGTTTTTCAGACCTCCACAGATTCAGATATATATTTATGTCTTTGAGTACATAGATTGTTTCTTTTTGTGGCTGTTGGGAAGGTTTTCGTAGTCTTCAAGGATGTTAGACTGCCTCTTACTTCTACATTTTTTACCTTGTAAAAACTCTAAGAAAGGACCTTTTAAAGGATGGATTGGCCAGATCCCTTTCAGTTACCTCATACAACTTTGCTGATCAAGTTAGTTTTATGCTTTTACATGACATCGTTAGAAAAGATGCAGCCTTCCCAGTGTTTGTTCAGATTAAGTTCTGCTTTACTATTCGGTTAAAACAGTTGAAATAATCTGCATTTAAGGCAAATTCCAAGCTTTGGTGTACTGTGCATAGAAAACACTGTGTGCTGTACCTGACTTGACACATTTGCCAGCCATGATATAAATGGATAATTTAGAGGCTCACCCTCTGTTTGATATCACAGCTCTCCTGACGTGTGCTTTCTGTCTCTGAGGGTGGATAACTGGTTTGAGGTTAGCACGCATAGAGATCAATGCCTGAAAGTACTGTAGTTTTGAAGTAACAGAAGCAACATTTTTGCCTGTGACATAGAGATGCAAATGGAAAGGAGGTGTACCGGCTTGCCTTGCAAACACGAGAGCAGCATATCAGGAGGGATAAAGCTACCAGCAACATCTGCACAGCACAGGTAACGTGTCATGCTTTGTCTTCAGTGGTAGGAAGGAAAAAGTTAAACTGTAATGTTATAAACATCACAGTAATTTGAGTTAGCTTTACTTTTGAGAGTTTTTACTAGACAGCTGAAGAACCTTGGAACATTTTGGTGTTTGTGCATTTGTTTCAAGTCCCTTGGAAAATGAAACCCTGCTTGAAAAGAAAGTATTGATATCTGGTTCCTTTAATAAAGACTTGAATTCGTGCCATGTCATGAGTCCGTCTCTCTCACAGGGTGAACACCACAAAGTAGTGCTGTGTTTGTTATAAATTAGATATATTTCGTAATAAAACAGAAGGGAATTCTAATGATCTGAAATCGCACACTCGAGGCAAAAAAATCCCATTTTTAAACTCTAAAACTACTTGTTCAAATTGTCACCACATATATTTTTGACTGTGTGAGTTGATGCAAATATTATTACCTTGCCGAAGAGCTTCTTTACAAGAAAATACTATGATTAAGTAAGTAATTGTCCAACATAATCGTCTTCAGCATACTTCCACAGACCTTCAGGCAGACAAGTTGATAATTTTTTCTCCTTCTGTCAGTGATTTGCTGATGCTCTTAATGTTGTGCCATATTTTAAAACAAAAAGAAATAAATTAAACCAAGCTTAGTATTAGTGAGATATTCCATAGATGTTTCATACCAATCCTAAACAATGAATTTTCTGTGAAACTAGCTTTACTTGAGAGCTGCAGTAGTTGAATTTCAGTGCATGTTAATTGCTGACAGTTACATTTCAGAAGGCATTGAATTCATAATCGGTGCTTACAGTTTCACCTGTCTCTGAGTACTAAAGAAACCTTCCACTAAACTAACATGAAGTAATTAATCCTCCTCCTCCTCCTCCTCCTCCTCCTCCTCCTCCTCCTCCTTGTAATAATGATGATGTCCTAACCTGTATTTGGATCCTAGGCTCTTCTGGCTAACATGGCAGCCATGTTTGGTGTATACCATGGGTCTGATGGATTAAGACATATTGCAAAACGAGTACACAATGCTACCTTAATCTTGGCGGAAGGTGAGCGTTTGATGTTTGCAGAGACATTAAATTGTTCTTAAATTCTTACATCTCCTTAAATAAACTTACGGGCTGGGGTTTTTTTGACTGCTGATATGTGTTCTCTCAACTCTAGAGAAAATAATTTATTACAAAATTCTTAGCTAATGTTTTTGTGTACTTCTGATAACAATGTCTAAGAATTAGATATCTGTGTGAGATAAGCTTGCAAGCATTGCTTCTGTTTCCTTGGGAATCTTAACAGAAATCCAGACAGTGAGACTCTAGATCCTAAGATTCAAATGCCGTTTTCCAGCTGTCTGTGGTTCACTTGCTGGGTCAACATAGTTTACACACAGGAATCTGCACAAAGTATTAATAATATAGCAAAAATAAGAATAAATAAGATTAAATAAATAGGGGCATTTCAGTTAAGTTGGGTAGACTTGCTATGAACACAGAAACCCCAGAGCTTAACAGCTAACTGAAAGTACAGAATCTGCAGCAGAAAATAATGATTGCAGCTGGACTACGTGGTCTAGTAGGGTTTTCTTTCACTGTCATGACTGTTATTGCTGTCAGAAGGAGATATGCAGAAGTGTAATGCCGGGAATTGAGGACTGATTGACACAGTTACCCATGCTTTGTTTGCAGGTTAGCTGGAAGACATTACACTGATGTGAAAAGCATTAAGACTATAAATTTTGTTATGGCAAGCTCCATAACAGTTAGTATCCATTTATGTAATAAATTTTTCCTTTCCAGTGTTTTGATTTTGCCCTTATTGCATTCATATACCAGTTCTGCTACTGTGGATGTTAGACATTTGATGTATCAGAAGGATCTTCCATAGACTTAATATGGATTATTAATTAGGACTGTATCTGATTGAGATGCATTTCATGCGCAATAACATTTCACTAAAAAGCTGTTGTTTTTCTGCTCTGTACACAATGGGAATATTTTACTTTATTATGTAACAGCATTTACTTATGAGATTGATAATGTCATTTTGCATTGCTATGCAAGTCTTGTGTAAGCAAGCAATACTGTATGCAGCTAGTAGAATTAACTTACTGTTTTTTATAGGTCTCAGGCGAGCTGGTCATAAACTACATCATGATCTTTTCTTTGATACTTTGACGATCACGTGTGGATGCTCAGTCAAAGAGGTTCTGGACAGGGCAACTCTTAGAAAGATAAATTTTCGGACTTATAGTGATGGCAGAGTAAGCAACTCCCTAAACCTTTCAGAAATTTTGTAACGTGACTTTTTCTCATTAAGTTCAAGTCATTACATGTGCTTAACAGAAGCCTTCTTGTAATTTGCTCAGATATGTTATAAAGATAGTATAAAGACTTAAGTTGTTAAGTAATGTACTGAACTTCAAGAAAGAATTTTTGTATTTTCATTGTATGCCTATTTAAAGATAATCTATTTGTTTCATGTTCAACCACTAAGGGTTAGAATGATGAAATGCAAGGTGACCTCCAGAATTCAAGTCCTGTGGCAGTGTTTAAAGACAGATTGAAATGTAGGCCACATTTTGGTAGGCACTAAGGACTTTTGGCAAAGTCTAAATTTTCTGTAAAACGGGGTGGAGGGAGGTGTGGGTTAGTAAAATATGCAGTTTTCCTGTTAAATGAAAACCACTTAGAAATAGTGGAAGTGAAGTCACAAGTCTTAAAACTTGAGAGTCATCTGTCTTGGAGGGGGGAGGGTTGGAATTGGAAAATTTTAGGTAAATAAATTTCTGTGTCTGTTACATAAAATGAAGTGATATTTACATATTATCGGGTAGGCTGATTTTTTTTCTCTTCCTGTGTTTCTGCAGTGTTTTTTCTTGAGCAGAACAAATATACTATTCCTCTGGAATTAAGAGTTTTGAGTAATTACTGTTGCTTTTATCCGTAGCTTGGAGTATCACTTGATGAAACTGTAAATGAGAAAGACCTCGATGACATACTATGGATTTTTGGTGGCGAGTCTTCAGCTGTAAGTAGACAATAGATCATAAATTATCTGAATGTTTCAGAAGCTTAGTCAAAATCAAAACTGCTCTTGGGATATTGGGTGTCTATACAATGACTATTCGTTGAATTCCGAGGATTTCAGACCCTCTCTTAAAGAAGAAGGCAGTATGAGATAACGATTTACATGACTGAGTAATGCCATTTTCTGATTTTGAGACTTAGTCCATTCGTTCAGCCTTAAACCCTTTGTTTAGGCTTTTATTTTTTTTGTGAGGGTTAGGACATGGTGGTCAGTTATTTCTCTCCCACTGGAATTTTTGTTGCATGTCATTAGTAATTAGCAGCAGTTACTTCCCAGATGAGGACTACTGAGACATCTGGCCCCATTTTAGTCTAATGCTGTTGTCATGCTAGATATATACAGGTGTGCATGGTAATAAGTTGGGATTTTTTAGCTAAAGAGATGATTAAATCTTGAGCTAAGCTGATATAGTATAAGGTAGCTCTGATGGAAATTGACTGTGAAAAGAGAAGTTTCCATGAAAGTATTTGACTTCATGTGGTTTTTTTTCATGTCAAAGGAGCTAATTGCTGAGAGTATGGGTGAGGAAACCAAAGGCATCCTTAACACCCCATTTAAGAGAACTTCCAAATTCTTGACACATCAGGTTTTCAACAGGTTTGTGAAATTGCTTTATATATGGTATTTTAATGAAATCTGAAAGTCTCCTTTCAAAAATCATACTGGAATCAGCTGAGGACAGTTTTGTAGCTGTATTCACACAGTCACTCGCTACTCTGAAATAGTCTACCTAGTATTGTTTTTAGATATTTTTCACCTTATAAACAAGCAAAGCAATACGCATGGTCCCATGGGGAATGTTTTTTTCCATTAATCTGCTATGTTGTACAAGTTTTTATTCGAGGACGTTGTATCAGCATACTGGTAGCATTTCTGAGCAAATGATAGTATGTTTTTCACCTACATCAGTATTAGCAGGCTTGAAGTACCAGTGTGGAAGGAAGTATCTAGTATGTATTAAGAATCATCCTCAATCTTAATTATTTTTATGGCTTTTCCTGTGTTAGAGAACTGATAATTGGTAAAGCTAACCTGCCTGCCTTAACACCACGTTTTGTGTTCTTCAGCTATCACTCTGAGACAAATATTGTGCGGTACATGAAAAGATTAGAAAACAAAGATATTTCCCTTGTTCACAGCATGATTCCTTTGGTAAGTATTTATCAAAAAGTGAAAAAAAATAGATACTTACATACATATTTATATATTTCAATAAATACTAACAAATGTGTTTGTGTTTTTAGGGGTCCTGCACGATGAAGCTCAATAGCTCAGCTGAACTTACAGTAAGTTGCAATAATACTGTCTTACTTGAGTCCTACGTCAATGAACTGTCTAGTCAGTGTCATGGTAGAGAAGTAAAGACTGCTTTTGGGATAATACTCCAATCGACAAGGCAGTTTCAGAAGTAGCTAAAGTCATCAGCTCTCTTTTCCACTGGGAAAAGAAGCCCCAAAAAGCATAGTAAGAGTCAATAGCGGGAGAGCGAATGGCTTTGAAGACTCTATTCTGAAAAAAATAATGAAAATAATTTTTGGAATTTGGCATCACAGTGCTGTTCCCTCATGCAGTGCTGCAGTACCTAACTTGTGTCTACTTTATAAATCTTGTTGTCAAATCCTCAGAATTGTGGAGACAGGTGAGACCGGCAACTCAGACTTCTTTGTCAGTTTGCTATTTATTTGTGTAGCATTTCTTTTCCCCAGGTGAGGAGCTGGAGTCCCCAGATATCTTCAGTCTTGTAGCTGATAGCAAATGAAGCAGACCCTTAGCCAGGCTGTTTGGGTACCAAGTGACTTTTTGACTCTAATTGAGCCTCCTCTACTCTTTCTGTTGGCTTCTCTTTTTCATCTTTCGCTAGCTTTTATTTGTCCCTTTCTCTCACTGCCTTCTCTAAGTCTTTTCCCTTCACTGTCTTCTGTCTTGTATATTCCCTTCTAATTAAAATGGATAGCCATGAAACTGTGAAACAAACAGAAGGTACTATTCCACATGACTCCTCTGTTTGACCTGTGGTCCTACAGCTTTACATAATGGTAGGTGAACTACAAGGAGAAACTAAGGATTTTTAAGCATTTTCTGAACGGTATAAAAAGTATACTGAAAATTGCAGACTCATACTGTTATAAATTGGGGGAATAAAACCCAGGAGCCAATTTAGAATTTAAGTGATTCATAAAATTTATTAAATTTAGCAAGTGGCTGAGTAAGCAAAACAGCACTGGGCAGCGAGGAGCAGCTCTCGCCAAGGAGTGCTCATACCACAGCTGCACCCATGCATGGGCAGATACCTTGGTTATATGCAAAGAAAGGTACATATTCATTAGATGCTTGTAGTATTCATGAGCTATCCGAAAAAGGTACTCAGTTCCGGTGGTCGGCTGCTCCTCCGCTTGACGCCTGCGCAGTGCCTCCTGGTAGTCTTGGGCAGGGGTCTTCAGGGATGAAGGCCATAGGTCTTCCTCACAATGAACTTTTACCTTGGTTCAAAAACTAGTTGCTCTCAGCACATTTCGTAAGATATCTTTGTCCTCGAATTCCACAGGGGCCTTTCATCACCAGATGGTCCTTGTTAGATACCTTTATCACTAGTGTTCTTGTCAATTATTCTTGTTTTTATATACTCTTACAGTGAGTCCATTCTGGTAGCCTTTGTTCTTTTTGTAGCTGGCGCTAGACAGCTGCCCCTACGTACAAGCCTGACCTTGGTGCCGGGGAAGACTATGTTTGCTTAACAGGATATTGTAGCCTAAACAACTTCATTTCTAGCACAGCATAAAATTTGATTAACAAATTCTATATGCCTTCTATTACACATACAATCATTTATTTTGGAAAAGACCCTCCTTGGCCACCTGGGCACACTGCTGGCTTATGTCCAGCCGGCTGTGCACCAGCACCCCCTGGGGCCTTCCCCATTGTCTGGGGTTGTTGTGAGCCAAGGGCGGGACCCAGCACATGGCCTTGTTGAACCTCAGGTAATGGGACTCAGCCCATCCATCCAGCCTGTCCATTTCTCTCTGTGGAGCCTTCCTGCCATCCAGCACATCAACACTCCTGCCCAGCTTCATGTTGCGTGCAAACTTACCGAGGGTGCACTTTATCCCCTCATCTGGATCATTGTTAAAGTTGTTAAACAGAATGGCCCCAGCACTAAGCCCTGGAAAACTGCAGTTGTGAACAACTGCATCCACCACCAGGCCAGACAGCCAGTTTTTTCACTCAGCGAAGGGTACACCCATCCAAAACATGAGCAGCTAGTTTCTCCAGGAAAATGCTGTGGGCAATGGTGTCAAAGGATTTGCTAAAGTCTGGGTAGACAACATCCACAGCCTTTCCTTCATCCCCCAAGTGGGTCTCCTTGTCATAGGAGGAGATCAGACTGGTCAAGCAGGACCTGCCTCTCATAAGCCCACGCTGACTGGGCCTGATCACCTGGTTGTCCTGTACGTGCCACATGTTGGCACTTTAGATGATCTGCTTCATAACCTTTTCTGGCACTGAGGTCAGACTGACAGGCTTGGTGAGCACTTCTGCCAGTTCCCTCACTATCCTTAAGTGGATCCCATCTGGCCCCATAGACCTGTGCATGTCTAAATGGAGCAGCAGGTCACAAATCATTTCCCCTTGGATTATGGGGGCTTCATTCCGCTCCCTGCCGTGTCTTCCAGCTCAGGGGGCTGGGTACCTGGAGAACAAATGGTATTACTATTGAATACTGAGGCAAAGAAAACATAAAGTACCTCAGCCTTTTCCCCATCCTTTGTCACTATGTTTCCCCCTTCATCCAGTAAAGAATGGAGATTCTTCTCCGCCCTTCCTTTTGGTGCTCATGTATTGATTTTTTATTTTGTTTTACAGCAGCGGCCAGATTAAGTTCTAGGTGGGCTTTGACCTTCAAATTTTCTCCCTTTGTAACTTCATGACATCCTTCTACTCTTCCTGATTTACCAACCCCTTCCTCCAAAGTTCATAAACTCTGTGGGTTTTTGCCTGAGTTCCAGCCAAAGCTCTCTTCAGCCAGGCTGCATCCCACAATGAGGTTGGGAACTTGTCTTTCTGCCCAAGAAATGTGTGAGGTTTATTTGAGCACAGGGTAACTTCTTTTCTTTATGGAGTTTAAGAATGAAATAATTGTCTGCAGGATTTTTTGTTACAGCACATGCTCTTTTTTTTTTTTTTTAATAGCCTATTTCATGGAAAGAATTTGCCAACATCCACCCTTTTGTGCCCCTGGATCAAGCTCAAGGATATCAGCAGCTTTTCAAGGAGTTAGAAAAGGACCTATGTGAGATTACTGGCTATGACAAAATCTCCTTCCAACCAAACAGGTAGGAAATTTTTTCTGAACATTTGCTTCTTAACATACTCCCAGAAACTTATCTCTAAAGAAAATGTGCACACCAAAAATGGAACAAGTCTCTGAAATTAAATTGGACAAAGAGGAGCCTGGAATGCAAGGTTATGAAAATAAAACATGTTTTTTCAGAACTGAAGAAACTTTTTTTGTCTTTTCTCTTCTAAAAGTTTAATGATCTGGTCTTTTCTGTTCTAATGTTTTTTCCTATATTTTCCCATCTATGATAGCTTGTTTCTCCATCAGTGCTTGCTTAAAATGGTGATGATACCTATATCCTCCTATGAGTTAAAATTAAAGATTTGAAATAGGAATAAGCTGTATGAGGTAACAACTATATAAATTTTGAAACTGATAGTTAATGCACTAGGTGATAGTAGGTCTGACTGAAGGATGCCTAGGATCTGCATACTCACTGAAATAAATACAGCACAGCTGAATGAATACTGCTGCAGCCTGTTTATGTCTATTAGTAGTTTTGATGCAAAATGAACAGCAAGGACTTAGGCTACACTTAGGATGTCACTGAAGGGGTGCATATGTTTTGCTGCACACACTTTGTATGCATTTCTGTATTAGTTTACTGCTCTGTAGTCAAGCCTGTCATTCACTGCTAAGTGCAGAAATGGGGATCAGCTCAGTCACCAAAAGGATTTAACATCATGGTATGAGCACATATAATGACATAACATTTTTCATTACTGTTTGCAAAAGAGGTAAGAGCTGTTAATTGATGTTGGTCATTTTGGAATGTAATTCATGGGATGTGTTGCTTTTAATTTGCCTAAGGCCACTGAGAAGGATTAGAGCTGGTCAGTTTTGAAGTTTCAGTAGAGAGCTGGCACATTCTGATTTGTTTGTTTGTGTAACATGGTTTATGTTCATCTTGCAGTGGAGCCCAAGGAGAGTATGCAGGTTTGGCTGCCATCAAAGCTTATTTAAATGCAAAAGGAGAACGTCATAGAACTGTAAGTGTATACTCATGTAGGGAAGAGCTTTGGGTGGAAAGTAGAGACAGGAGAGTTGATTCAGCAGCTGGGACTTATCTAGGTTCTCAAGAAACTAAGTTGTGTACCCTTAGCTGTGACAAGCTTTCAGTATTCCCTGCTTCCTTCATGGAACATGGGCACCATCTAAAAAGTCTTTCTTTACTTTACAGACAGTAGGAATGAGGAAAGGGGACTCATTCAAAGGGTGATTTTACTGGATTTGGCTGGGATGGAGTTATTAAACTTTCTTCATAGCAGCCCATGTGGCGCTGTGCTTTGAATTTGTGTCTAAAGCAGCGTTGATAACACAGAAGTGTTTTGGCTGTTACTGAACAGTGTTCACACAGTATCAAGTTTTTTCCACTTTCCCACTCTGCCCTACACCCCTCACCCTCCCAGTGAGCGGGCTGAAGGTGGGCAAGAGGTTGGGAGAGACACAGCCAGGACAGCTGATTCTGACCAGAGGAATGGTTTATGCCATACAACAGCACCCTCAGCAATAAAAGCTCAAGGAAAGGTGGACAAAGCAGGCAACATCATGATTATGGTGTTTTTCTTCACAAGCTGTGATTGTATGTGCTGAGGCCCTGCTTTCCTGGAGGTGGCTAGTCATCTGCTGGGCCATGGAAATAATGAATGAATTCCTCTTCTTGCTTTGCTTGCACATGCAGCTTTTGGTTTTGCCATTAAACTGTCATTCTGCCAATGTCTAAGTTTTCTCATCTCAAATTTTCTCCTTGTGCCATGGGAGATGGAAGTGAGTGAGGAGCTGTATGGCCAGGTCAATTCATGACAGTCCTTTTTAACTTCCAACATGGGACTTGAGGTAATGACAGTTTTAATGTGACCATGTTAATTTATTAATTGGCAGCCTCATGTGTGCTCACAGAACTTGCTTGCTTTACAGTGTGTTAGAATCTAAGACTTTATAACATCTGTTTTTAGCTCTTGATGTTTGCTGTGCAGTTTATCAATGTACTTCACCATACTTGGAAACACTTTGATAAAAGCAATGGCTGTATGCCTGTGCTGGCACACAGCCCTGGCTATGATGCCATTCATGTGCTGTATGAGCTACCTTGTGGAGAGAACAAGGGATTACACCTCCCCCGTCTCCTCTGGGGCTAATGTGTCCAGCTCTCTTGCATGGGCTCCTGAGTTTTTTGTACATCCTTATGTAGGAAATTTGATTCTATTGTTTAACATTATTGGCTTGTTGTTGTGTGTGTGGAATCTGGTCTGGTCCTAATGTAAGAGTAAACAAGTTGTTGACCTGCCAGAAACACTCCCCAAGGCAGTTGATCCCTGGGTGACAGATTACGTAGGAGGGTTTGGGCAGGTATCACCTTCTATAACCTGAGATTTTATATCTGAGCAGACATGCAATCCCATTGAATTAGTACACTGCTTGATGGAAGGATGCCTTACCTAATCCAGTGAGACCCAGCAGCTCCTAGCACTGTTTTGGGGCTTGGCCTGTGCTTGTTGGGCCTCTTGTCTAGTACCATCATAGCAGCAGGGTAAAGTAGGCCTCTGTCTCCAAGGACGCAATGGCTGAGACAGGGACTCAAACCTTAACCACAGTAGTTGCCCCAGTAGTAAAAACAAAGCACTGGCAGTGGAGGCTAACAGGACGGTACCATCAAATATTAAAGGAAGAGGAAGGGTCTGATCAGGAAGGGATGCTGAAGGGTATAGTCAGGAAGCTACGGTCTGGGGAACCAACAAAAAAATCAGATTGCTGACAATCTGCAGCCCCTGGAATTGGTTCCTGTTAAGTGTGAAGTGTCTTCTCAAGAGCAATCTGGTGGATTACTGAGACAGTTGAACTGCTGCCAAGGAAAGTGTTCAGAATTTAAGAGAATTAGTAGTGGTGGAGGTGGTCTACAGTGACCTAGATAACAAATGAGTCTCCACAGATCTGTGTGATATTCAGTATACATGGGCCACGTAGAGGAGATCTGTGGAAAATGTATCCATGTCATATGCCAACTCATTGGCGCTGATGGACAGTCCTCATCCTGAGATAGCAACTGTGGAGAGATTGTCTTGCCGGTTCAATGTCAAAGAGAATCCCTCCACTTCTTATTCCCACAGACAATGTTCTTGGCTGCCAGGGGTGCCCTATGGAGTCAGTGTACCCCAGCCAGAAGAAAAGGGAGCCTCAGGTGCACACTACATGGGACTTTCTGGTTCTTTCTGCGTGGCTGGAGTAGGACACAAGGAAGAGGGACAGTGCACTCACCTCAAAGCTACGAGCCCTTGTACCTGAACTGCAGGCAAAGACAGTTGCTAAGAAGAGACCAACAAAGAAAGTTGTTGCAGCAGTTGCTGCCAAGACAGTGGAAAGTAACCAGCTGTCCCTCAGACACAGAATAAGGGCAGAAAATGCCTCTCCTCCTGAGTTTGGTGAAGGGACTTGTGGTCTGACACCATGGGGGTGAAAGAGTGAATTTTACAATAAGTAAAGGGTCCCTGCCTTTGGTTAGGCATACAAAGGGAATAACAAATTTTAATGGACCCTATGGATTCAGTGGCTTGGCATGTCAGATGCACAGTGATAAAAGGCTTTGATGAATACTGGTACACAGTGTACTTTAATGCCATCAGGGTAGGAGGGGTGGGACCCATCTGGATTTGTGGAGTGACAGGGATGCCAACAACTGTCTCCGTTGGAAGCTGAGATGAGCCTAAACGGGAGCAAATGGCAGAAGGATGCTATTGTGATGGACCAAAGTCTCCATGTATCCTTGGCACAGACTGCCTCAGAAGAGGTTATTACAAGGACTCAAGAAAATAGTGGTGGGCCTTTGGTGTAGCCACAGCAGACACAAAGACCGAACCAGCTGTCTGCCTTGACTGGCCCCTGTCCATCGTAGGATTGCTGCATGATGAAGAACAGCAGGCGCTGGTTGCTACCCCAATGGTGCACCAGCTGACACTCTGTGGTTACCATCCATAAGTTGATTCATCTACTGGAAAGCCAAGGACTGATAAGCAAGACTTAATAACTCTTAAATATTTCCATAAGGCCAGTGCAAAAGTCTGACAGAGGGTGGAGGTTAGCAATGGGTTATCAGACCCTGAATGAAGTGATGCCACCATTCAGTGCTGCTGTGTGAGACAAACTAGAATTTCAGTATGAGCAAAAGTCAAAGGCAGCCAAGCAGTATGCCACAACTGATATTGCCAAAGTGTTTTTCTATATCCCTGTGGCAGAATGCAGGCCACAGTTTGCTTTCTTGTATCAGGGTGTTCAATACACCTGGAACTGATTGCCCCAGGGCTGGAAAGAGAGCCCTACCTACCTATCTGCCAGCTTTGACTGATGCAAACTGAAGCAGGATGAAGCCCCTGAAATCTGCAATACATGGATGACATTGTTGTGTGGGGCAACATGTCAGATAAAGTGTTTGAGAAAGGGAAAAGAAGAATCCAGATCATTCAGAAAACTAGTTTTGCCGTAAAACCAAAGCAAGGTCAAAGGACTTGCACAAGACATTCAGTTCTTGGGACTAAAACAATGAGATAGATGTCACACCCCTGACGCTGCAGTCAATAAGATAATAACTATGTTGCACCTTTTGCTAAAAAGATAGGAACACCAACTTGTCTAGGCGTTGTGCATTACTGGAGAATGCATGTGTATGCCAGGCTACAGTCAGCTTGTGAGACAGAATTCTCTGTCGAAGAGCTATGAAGAAGAACTACTTTGAGTGGGGCCCTGAGCAGCAACAGGTCTTTAAACAGATCAAAGTGGGGATGGCTCATGGGGTAGCCCTTGGGGCCATATGGATGGGACCACCTCAAAAACTTCTTGGGCACCTGAGATCAGTTAGATATTCTGTTTTCACACACTTAGGAAGTTGGCTTTAAATGGTAGGAAAAAAGTCCTTAGTACAATAATATCCGTATTTTCTGAACCTCATTTTATACTTGGCTTTGGAACTCATTTGCCTTCTCAGAATGGAAGGGCCATTGTCCTGACCTGCTGTGAACTGTAGCTTCTGTGTGAGGAAACTACCTAAAATTGAATAGTGAGTGTTGTGTTGTTCTCCCTTTGTTTCTTCATTACATCCAGATCACCTCCAACTTCTTGCAAATCAGCCATGTTTTACAATTACAAGCTGTGTTTTCTGAGTGGTTTTACTCAGTGGGAAGTGAAGTTACGTTGAAATTTTATTCCTTGGACAGTTACCTTCTGATTATCCGACACCTGTGTTTTGCTGCATCACTTACTCTGTGGAAGGTCTTTGGTCTTCTGTGATTATCTATGGTCCTCCTCTGCTCAGAAATTCTCAGAGGGGAACTGCACAGAAGAGAGCCTGCAGGCTTCTTGCAGTTATTCATACCTAACAGGTTTAAAATGTTATAGTTAAATAAAGATAATCTAAGGGGGTGGAAAAGAAAAAAAAAAAAAGAAGAAAGCTCATGAATTACTGACCTTTCAACTGAAGTAATGTATTCTTCTGGGCTGGAGAAAGTAAATAAAACGGCAGATCAAGCTTCTTGCAGTCAGCCTCGTTTGGATTTAGTGCTCTCTCTTGTGGGAAAAAAGCATCGGTCTTAGCTGACAGCTCACATCTGTCCACTTTGTTGCCTGATCAATAAGTTCTGTACCCAGCAGCTGCAGCTGCAACCTAGCAAGACTGGGTGGCAATCTGGACTCACATTTCTGCTGTACAGTTAAAATGATGACGTGTGCTACAGTGCTCCCCAGCACCGGGGCTGGGATCCCTGCGTTCCTTTTTGGCATAGCTGCACGGAAACAGTGGACAGTTCACTGCAAGAAGAGCAGATATCCAGGTGCTGAGACAGATGGGTCAGTTCTGTGGAACAGCTTTTAAAGTAATTAGCATTTGTCTTAGCATCTCCATGGAACATGAGGTAGAGGCCATCATGCAGTTTCTCATGAAAACAAAGTGTCTTACTGTCAATTATTTAATGGGGCCAAGTTTGAATAACTTAATAAACTTGATTCCAAGAGAATAAATTTCCAGGAGAATCATAACAAGTGTTTCAATATCCTTACTGAGCAGAAGCAAAGGATTTTTTGAGAAGCTAAACTTATTCCATAGAAGGGGTGGAGTTCCTAGAAAATGTCTGGAAATAACCTGAGCTCTATTTTCCTAACTATCCTTTAAGATCTTTTAACTGGTTATACCTTAGCCTCTGGTTCTTTTTCTCTTCTGAGGTTTGCCTTATTCCTAAATCCGCTCATGGTACAAATCCAGCAAGTGCACACATGGCAGGAATGAAGATTCAGCCCATTGAAGTGGATAAAAATGGGAGCATTGATATCTCCCATTTAAAAGCAATGGTGAGTATTTAATTATCTTTAATTTACAAAGCAGGAACACTCCTTCCTTCTCTACAAGTAATAATGTTTGCAGCTGAATCAGATTTTTCTTTTATAAGAAATAGGGCAATAACAGCGAGTACATGCTTGAGAAAGATAATTATTTCCTTTTTTTTGCTCACTCAGACACTGGTCATGCAACACTTCTGAGGTTTCCTTTAATTGGAGGATCTTTGGTGCAGAAGTGGCTCAGAGAGTCTTTCCACACAGCAGGCTCTTCTGTAGCAGACCTTTTTTTGTCTACATCTAGTATTTGAAATGAGTGAGGCATGTTCATGACTGTGAAGCATTTGAGAATGCACTTTAGCCTTTGCTTAGTAAAGTTTAAGCCCACCTCTGCTGGGGAAGGTGTTGCTAGGCAACTTTTTCCACTTTTTTTGGCTGCAGGTGAATCTTAGAAATCCAATAGATTAGCAGGACACATTTCCAAAAATACATCTATGAGTAGGCTTTTATGGTAGTCGTAAAACCATTTTGCTGAAACTAGGGGGGGTGGTCATTCTATCACATTACCTTGAAAGTCAAATGTTTAACTTAGCTTGTCTTAAAGTCCTGGAAGTGACTGTTGTAGATACATCTCTTTGATACATGACTTCTTCCCTGTTTTAAAGCTTTTATTTATTGAGAAAACACTGTTTTTTCATAGGTATTGCTGAAGAAAAGAAGCCAGTATCTCTTTCTGACAATAAATGACTTAGACTACCTGCTGATAGACTTGCTTCTCACCTGTATAACACTTGATGACCTTAATTACATGTTTTTTGTAAAAATCTTCTCTTTAAGAAGCTTTTGGAGCCTCAATGACTTTCTTTTCCCACTCTCCCTCCCTGCCACCAGGTGGACAAGCACAAGGAGAACTTGGCAGCCATCATGATCACATACCCTTCCACCAATGGTGTATTTGAAGAGGAAATCGGAGATGTGTGTGACCTGATTCACAAACATGGAGGACAGGTTTACTTAGATGGAGCAAATATGAATGCCCAGGTACAAAGTCTTTGAGGTACAGTTATTACAACTGAGAGTGTATGTTTCCTTGGCATAAAGATAGTACAGCTGCATGCAGTTCAGACAATAACACAGCTTCCTCACAAGGTGGCACACTGTTTGGGGGTGCAGGTGAGGTTTCCAAGAAACGTAGTAAAAATTAGATGCTGAAAATAATTTTCTAGTACCTGATTTGCCCTGCAATGTGTTTTAAGATGTACGAGTTTTTCACTGAAATTGGCTTACTCTGCCTAATCTTTGTCAATTAAATTCTTCACAGACATAAATAAGAATTTCTAAAGCAAAAAATTGTTTTGCACCAATTCTTGTTTATGAGGCATCATGATAAAGAAAAATGGGAAAACGTATATAATCTTTTTTAACCCATTTTTCTTGAATGAAGTAATAGGTTTTAAGAAGGCATCTAAAGAATGTTTTGAGACAAAGTATTCCCTTCACAGGTAGGTCTGTGTCGTCCTGGAGATTACGGCTCTGATGTCTCCCACTTAAACCTTCACAAAACCTTTTGCATTCCCCATGGAGGAGGAGGACCTGGAATGGGACCAATTGGAGTGTGGGTATCTCTTTATTAGCATTTTCCTTAAATAAATTAATCCCTTAGTGAACTTTGGTTGGCAGTTCATTTAAGTATAGAGCAATGAAAGGGAGAGGTGTACTGTTGTTTGTAAACTTTTGTCCTTCTCCAGGACAGTCATGCACTGATCTCATGAATGATGAAGTTCATATGTATTCCCAAACGCTGCCTTTCATCTTGGCACTTTAGTGTGTATGGAAGACCTCACTCAGTGGTCCATTTTCTGAGTAAAGACAGAGATGATCTGTGGACTTTGAGGGCTGATATTGTACATAGTCCAGAGTTCAGAAGTGGTACATGAACTGCATGACTATCCTGTTGGGCAACTGTATTCCTTTAAAGGAGAATAATCTTACTCTTAAAAAAAAATCATTTTGATTTGGATAGCTGCATGAATATCTTGTGATAGATTGAAAATTGAGTGCCATCCTCCATTGTCACCAGTTATGTTAATAAACTTTCTGTTGGAGAAGACATAGATCAGATTTCCTGGAAGTCTGTCTTTGGAACGAAGGTGAAGAGAGGCTGCTACTGAAACTGTCCAGAAACGGTAACATGGGAACACACATTTAAGTTCTAAAATCAATGTTTTTGTTTTAGGAAGAAACATTTGGCTCCCTACTTGCCTACCCACCCTGTCATCAAAATACATCTGGATAAGGATGCATGTCCTTTGGGTACTGTCAGTGCTGCACCTTGGGGTTCCAGTGCTATATTGCCAATTTCCTGGGTGTATATCAAGGTGTGTAGACTTTTATAAGGAGTATCAGCTGAGGGTCTGTTTCAGCGAGTCTGAGGACCTCTGGAACCACACAAACACGTTTAAGAAGAGCCTGTCATAAGATGTATGCACTATGACAATAGCATGGTCATAGGCTATTCACATCCTCTGAACCTCCTTGTTTTCCAGTAGGACAATGGAACAGATTATTGCCATCTGTTGCAATAGGAAAGGATGGCAGGACAGTTGTATTTATGCAGCCTGCTTAATTCTTTCATCTCTTGCCTGTAATAATTCTCGAGACAAGTGGACATAAGGCAGAAAGCTGCAATCAGGCTTTCCCCTTCAGTGTCTCTGACAGTAAAGTTTTCATGTTTAATGAAAGCTGCTTGGCAATTACTGTTCTTCCAAGAGTATTTTTGGTTGCATGCTGCAGTCTTGTTACACCTGACCTGACATTTAACTTTCCAAAGTCTGTCTAATACGAAATTGAATTTCAGGGAATTTTACTGAATTTTAAAACCGAACTTAGTTTTGGCTTTGGATGTAATTTTTAATGCCTTGCAATTTAGTGATAAGCCTGCAAATATTTGGTTACATATATGGAAATATTTGGCCAACACAGATGAGTGTAGTTTAGAATTCTGTTTGAGAAGAGGGCGTGCTGGCACTCCGAGCAACATTTAAAGCTTTCAGTAAGAGAAAGAGTTGGAATGGTGTGTCATTCATACCTTAACCATGGAAACTTCTGCTCCTGGGGAAACCAGCATTTCTGGAATTTGAAACAAGCAAATGTGAACTAGTACAACTGCCATGTTGGCTTTTTAGCTGTGGTTAAAAAAATAACTTGTGGCTGTAAGGCAGTTCCTGCTACAGAATATTTGAACTAATGAATTTTTAGGGGAAGCTGTTCCTTCACAGTGCAAAGCACTCTCTGTTTAGACTGTCTCATCTAAAGGGGCTACCTTGAAGGCTGCTTTGGCTTTCTCCTTTGCCAGCTTAACTTCTAAGTGCAGTGTTAAGACATTCGACCAAAGCTCAATTCCAGCAATGTCTTTTCGCAGTGCTTTAACACAGAAATAAGTGCATCTGTGTTCATTTGGCTCTGGCCTTTGTTGATATAGAGTATCATCTGTGACATGACACCAGCCGGCAGAGTTTGAGTTGCTGAGATAATCTGTACAGGGAACACACATAGCTTTTTGGGCAGCCCTCTGGTGCTAAGCATCCTGGGGGTAAGGATGGTGTCAGGCAGCACATGCAGCTCTTAGAAGTGTGCTGATGACATTCTTGAGTTCTGTTCACTCTTTTTCTATTCCAGAGCTTCACAGTTTGAGGGAACGTTTGGGCTCATGATTTCAAGCAAAAACTCTTATAGAGTAAGCAGTCTCACAAGCTATGTATACCAAAGTTGCTCTCGAGTAATACTTGCTGCTTTTCTATGAGTGTAGTGTGGAAGAGTATAACAGCAGCGTGACTTAGAACTAGCCAGCTTCATTAAGGTGCTGCTTGCCAGGACAAGAACATACTTCTTGCTTGGGAATCTTTTTAGATCTGTTTCTTCATGTTATTCCTCTTTCAGACAATGGGAGCAAAGGGTCTGAAACATGCTTCTGAGATTGCTATACTAAATGCAAACTACATGGCAAAGAGGCTAGAGAAGCACTACAAAATCCTTTTCAGGGGAGCAAGAGGTAAGTATTGGACAATTTGTTTTCTACAAAGCTGACTTTTATTTCCCAGTGTAGAAGTTGGCTTGCAATATGGTTCTTTTTCAATGCTACATGACAGCTGCACCTCAAACTTCTCTTGATATTGTTCAGAAGGAGAGAAGTAACCTGCCATGCTGCTTCTGTGGAGGTATTGCGACGGAAATTAAATACTTCAAAGCAGGAGAATACACCTGTTTGTAGTTACATGAAATGATGACAAAAGATGTAGTAAACATCAGACTGTTCTCCTTGAAGTCTAGCAGCAGATCAACGACCAGTGGAAAAAAGAGAAGCAATGAACTTGAGACCTAAATCTCCCAATGGTACAGCAACTTAAGGACTGGAATTTTTTGGACCTGTACTTCCCCTTGCACACTTCTGAAAAAAAAAAACAACAAAACCCACACCCAAATGTCTCTCATGTCCACTCGTTTTTATCCTTTGTGATGAGAGAGAATGCCCTGGCAATGCAAAATACTTTAGCTACATTCTAGTTCCCTGCTATGGCTCTCCAGTCTTGCAGCAAGACAGAAATAATGAACAAGAAGTGAAACGATTACCTGTTATAGTAGCAGAACTATCAGAGAATGTTATTTTGCTTATTTAAGCCGAATGGCACCAAATAACATTTTTCTACAATATATATTGAGCATAGCGCTAACAATGCTAAGGTCGTGGGTTTGATTCCAGTTCAGTCCCCATGTGTTGCCTGATCTAGTCGAGAGGTGGCGTCCCTGGCGGCAGGGAGGCTGGATTAAAATGATCTGTAAGGTCCCTTCCAGCTTAGGCCATTCTATGATATGATATGCTGGTCAAAATCTATGTCTTATATTTAATGGAGTACACCTGGGCTAAACCCACAGGTTGCATTGTAAGAGAATATATTATTTCCTTACAAAAGCAAATGGGGACTGCAAATTTTGAAGGATTCAGCGCCGAAATGGAACAAGGTTCTCCAGGATCACAGATGTAAATTTTCGTCTTTACCCTCTCTGAAACATCAGATTTGAGCTTTCCTCTGGTATACCATGAAACTGACTGCCTTATGCACGGCTAATTCAAGACAGCCTGAGACCCAAATGGTGTTGGGCCACTGACAAATCCAGTTATTTTTCAAAGTACTTTTATATTCTATAAGCTCCTTTGACCACCTTTCCTAGTTCTGATCCTGGAAATGAGTCCTCTTCTTAGTGTGACGTGGGACTCAGAGGGCAAGTCTTCAAATACTGAGCTGTATATATCTTACCTGATAATTTCTCAGGTTTGAGATTTTGCTCAAGTGGATATTTTGTATTTTGTCTTTTTGCCATGTTCTGCACAAAACCAATCAGAACAGACTGTCTGGTAGATGGCACTAATCTTACAGTGAGTAAAACATAGTGTACATTTCTGCATTTACAGGTTTTGTAGCCCATGAATTCATTTTGGATACAAGACCCTTCAAAAAAACAGCAAACATTGAAGCTGTAGATCTTGCTAAGAGACTTCAGGATTATGGTAAGTCAACTGGTTGTTTAAATATAGCAGTTTAGGTGAGAATTTCCTACATCTTTTCTAAGCGGAGCTGGAAACATTCTAGTCCTGTGCTTATGGATGGTGAATCTGTCATGATCATTCCAGGTCTTCCCATGTCTGTTAAGGGCTTAGAGAGATATTAGCAACAATTGAGTTATAATAGCTACTTGCAAATCTGCTGGTACCTCCCCAGTTCTGTAAACTACCCCTTCAAATTTGCAACTGCATGACTCTTAACCATCGGAGCTACATGGGTTAGAGCCAAGAGCTTAATAAGGTAAGTTTGATATGATTCCAAGAAAAAAAAAAAAAGAGAGTACTTTTGAAGTGGGATAATAGGATTTAAATGCAATTTTGAACACATGCTCTGAAGAATCTGATCGTGGCTACTCTCTGGCTTCCAGACAGGATTGAACTGCTTGACCCTATGCAACTGTACTTCTGACAAATATACATAAAAGCTATTAAACCAAAACCACTAATAACTCATCCAAAGCCCGGTTGTGGTACCAAAAAACCCACCCTTCCTGCTCTTTATAGTTGGGCTGCTGTGGCCATAAATAGCATGCCCCACTTTAAATAGACTTTTCAGTAGGCATGGTGAATTACATGGATAAGTTTACTAAAGTTCCATCCTCTGCAGGTGAAAGAGAAGTGTCATGAGGCTGTAATTAGCAGTAGTGCAGGAAGGGAATTATGAGATGAGAGCCCACCTTTTCTTTTTACCTTGTCTACCAGTGCAGAAACGTATTCCCATCTCACTTTGCCATTCAGCTTGGCATAAGAAGGTAAAGCTACAAAACACTTCTGCTGCAGTGAGCCACAGGAACAGAAATAACTTTGGAAAAAAAGCAATATATTTTGGGCTAAAAAGTAACAAAGCTAAAAGAGATTTTAAGAGTGTTTCACTGAAACAGTGTGTAACTACACTGTAAATAGCACAATGACATTACACTTCAGTGTTAGAGATCCTTGAAAAGTCTGTCTTACCGCTACAGTACAATGCTAACACTACCTATGAGTTCAGCCCTGTAAAGATTACAGAAAGGGCTGCTTTTGTGGATCAGTCGGTAGCTAATGCATATATTAACTCATAACCTATCGTCAGTGACTGATTTCTTCTTTATCAGGTTTTCATGCTCCAACCATGTCCTGGCCAGTGGCAGGGACACTTATGATTGAACCAACAGAGTCTGAAGACAAGGCAGAGCTGGACAGATTTTGTGATGCGATGATCAGCATTCGGCAGGAAATTGCTCAAATAGAGGAGGGCAGGATGGATCCGCAAATTAACCCACTAAAGGTAAGATGGCATGCAGAGCAAATTACAAGCATCAGCTTAACCCTTCAGACCACCTAAGCCCACTTTGTAGTCTTTTAGTACTCCCAAAAATAACTACCTCCAACAGTGAACACATGAACTTCTTGAAATCTGACTTTTTAAGAATCCTTAAACTTTTTCAAAATCTGAATTTTGACTTTTTCAAGTCACAAGTCTGGCCTCACAGATCAATAATTTTCATGGTCATCTTAAAGTAATGAAGGAGAGATGCTTATTTTTCTAGTTTAAGAAGGGAAGTGGAATTACTATAAAATAGTAAAATAAAGATTGAATTATTTTAGCAACTGCAGTACAAAACTGTTGTAGGCTCAAGTTATGTTTAGTTCTGATAATTCTGCACTAACCTTTTAAATATAATGGGAATTTACTAAAAGGCTGGAAGCATATTCAAACCTTGGGTAGTATCTTCAGACAAATGGGAAAAAAAAATCCAGATAGTGAACTGCTTCCTGTTTTAAATCTGCCTTTTTCCCCCCCAGATAAATGGTGTTCTTGAGAGACTCTCTATACAGTAGTAATGTGTATGTAGTAATGTCAACTTGAAGGAGGGTTCAACTAAATTCAGTAATTTTATGTCCTTAAACATGTCTTTTTGCTTGTAGATGTCACCACATACTCTGAATTGTGTCACTTCTTCCAAGTGGGATCGTCCTTATTCCAGAGAAGTGGCAGCATTCCCACTGGTGAGTAAATAACAGGATCCTGGTGGTGTGGTAATACATAAATGTGCTTTCTGTTCTGTGGTTTTCTGGCCGGTTGAAGACAATCTGGTAAGAATAAAAACATCAGAGACATTTTTACTGTTGCCTAATTTTTGTGTGTGAGAGTTCTACTCTAGTTCCATTAGTTTTGTTTTTCGAGACAAGGAAAAAAGATTTATTTAAAAAAGTCTCTGCACATGAAGTGCAAGCTTTGACTTTTAAATCTTAGCCCTTCAATAGTTGATACTCCTATTGGAAACAGCCCATTCAGTTCTGACATTCTGCAACCAGGAGCTCCCAGAACAGAGTCCCACGTCCTGTCTTTCAAAGCTCTGCTCCAAAGAACTTGGATCAGGGTTTGACACAGTCAAACGGTCAGTGTGGGGCAAGCCATGCCAATGTCAGCTTGTTACAAATAAAGGTCAAATTGGATTTGGGTGCATCAGAATTCTTCAGAGCACTACATAAAATTGTTTCCACAATCTTAAGAGCTACACATTTGTGTGATAATTTTTCTCCCCTAAAACTGCAGTGCATCTATTTTTTTTGCTATTTACTGTTTGAAAGAGGAAAAATTTAACTGCACACGTAAAGTTTGCCACTTTGTTTTATGTATTTTAACTATGTTGAACAGCACAGGTCTTGGTAGTCTCCTCCGCTTTTCCTTGATTCCTATGTGTAAGGCAGTTATTCTCTTTTATCCCATGACAACTGCTTCTTCACAAGCATTTGTCAGAGGACACAGTTACTCTTTCTTGAATATATGTTCTTTTGACTGCCAAATCTGTTATAGTAAGTACTTATTAACTTTCAGGGACTGACGATAGATTTGAAGTATGACTTCACTTAAAAAAATCCACTTTTCTAGCATTCATCATTCTTAAAACTTCTAATGTCTTTTACAATTAACATAAATTTGCTGGTGGAAAAATTAAAGTAATTGTTTTTTCTTCTGTACTTAGCCATTTGTGAAGCCTGAAAGCAAATTTTGGCCCACAATTGCTCGCATTGATGACATATATGGCGATCAACATCTGGTTTGCACCTGCCCACCAATGGAAGCCTATGAATCTCCATTTTCTGAACAGAAAAGAGCATCTTCGTAAGACTGCTTCCAGCTGCCTGGATATCTGAGTCCATCAGACTTATAGGGGATATATATGTATACTGTGTATATTTTGGATAATCACCATATTTGTTAATTGAATCACTGCTCAGTTAAAATGTAAATACAATCAGTAAGTTAGGTGTAAACAAAATGTGATTGTTGCACAGCAGTTGATGTTGAAGTTGCCTTGATTCAGCAGTTTGTCTGTTTTGTGCCAAGGTTTTAACAATTAACACCCAATTTAGACAAGGCCATGGAAGATAAAGCTGAAAAAGCAGAAAATAAGCAGATGCATAAGGCAATAGTAATGAATATTAACTGCAGGAGTAATTCTTTATATTTTGTAAAAAAGATGAAGTAGATAAATTTACTTCATGTATTACCACTAGCATGGCTAGCACAAATATTTCGTACTGGTTTTTTATCTACCAGTGTTAGTACTCTAATAAAATGGGTCAGAATTTTAAGTGTTCTCATGTTCTGGATTTTAACTTTGCAGCTGGATTTATCCAGCTGACTAGTATGCATATATGAAGGTTAAGTTCTGATTCATCAGAATTGCCACAGCAATAACAGCTTCTACACAAAACAAAATACTGGCATGGATTAATATCGAAACAGGCTGCTGATTTTTTTTTAATGACCTAGAATGATCAGTTTTTACTGAGCAGTAACAACTTTTTTCTCTCTGTCACATCATTTTTCCCTTGTAGTTCCATCTAATCCTCTCCTCTTTTTCCAGAGAAGGCAGGAAACACATTTTTTAACAGACTATGAACTGCTTAGTGTAAGTTAGATCTTGTCTAACAAAGTATTCTCTATTTTCTCAAATATCTTTTTTTTTTTTGGCTTGGCTTTGGTTTACACAGTGCAGTCAGCTTGCTTGCTTTGTCAGGTAAGTCCACAGCTTGTGCAAAAACTGATTCACAGCTTTACTTCTGCCCCTCCAAGAATACCACAGCACCCTCAGAGCAGAGCCCTATTGCTGCCCACAATGCCACATTCAATTAGTGCCAGAATGCAGACTTTAAACAGGGATCTGTTTGAAGGAAGGTTAGTCCAGGTGTCAGTTTTGATGTGAAAAGCTGCACCTAGATCCTCAAATGTCTACATATATAGTGAAAATCAGTATTTTATACTCTAGAAGTTACTACTGAAAAGGGCATCTTTCAGTAGCTACTGATATAGCACTAAGGATGTAAAAAAAGTGAAAAAATGCTGCAAACTTATAATGTGAGGAAAGGACAGTCTTTCTACTTTGCCACTCTTAACTCTACCAATTCTTGTCAAGATACTTTAGTGTTGGCTAAAGGCAGTTAAGTGGTGCTTGGTTGTGCCTGCCACTGAAAAATATATTAAAATATATTAAGCAGAGATCTGCCCATTGCTGACCTCAAACTGACGTGTTTATCTCATCAAATAATTGGTAAAAGCTATCGAACAGAAAAAAGCATTAGAAAGTATGGAATATTTCAGAGCACTCAGCTATCAAGTAAAAAGTCACAAGTCTTACATGCTACTGCACAGATGCAATGATTTTACCAAAGGTAAAATTACATGTTTTCCTAATAAAATGCCAAGCTACCATGTGGTAAAACACAAAAGTTCAACAGGCTAAGAAACTGACATGCTTAACACTAATACATTCACCTGCTGAACAAAGGCTGAGCCCTCATTAAATCAGTTAAATCAGCAACACCTGGGGTTTTTTTTTTGCTGTATGACAAGAGAGATATTACCAGCATTACATATTTTGGGTGAAACTGAAATGTTAAGAATAAGGAGGGGGAGAGTGGGGAGAGAGAGAAGTTACTTATTTCAGATGAAACGAGCAAGCCATTAAGCTAACTTTCAGCCACAATAAACAGCACTGCCACACACACCTCAACAAGTGGCTCATTACCACACCAGCGTAAGGGCAAGATCTTAAAATCATTGAGAACGACATCCATACTTCCATATACACTTTTACATATGCCCACTTGGCAGGCTGCAGGCTGTCAGCACAGCCTCATGCCTACGGTGGGAATCTCTGAGTATTGGCCATACAGAGCACCTGCGGCTCCTGGCCCCACAGAGCTGACACTGGCACCCGGCAGGGCAGGAGGAGCCCTCACCGACCCCAGAACATAGATTGAGCACTAAGAGGCTTCCTTCAAGTGCTCCTGGAGACCAGGGTAGCTACATGACAGCCGCTGCTATAGAGTATGTGTGAGCCCACAGATATTGATGTCATGATTTGTTTCTTGGGTTGTTTTTTTTTTAATTAACAATTTTTTTTTTCATGGAGAAATGAGTTAAGGAATATAAAGCTTCACATCTGAAATGTAAGCCCACCTAAAGAAAGCATTTAGTAATCTGAAAAAAAAATTGCCCACCAAAATTTTATGATTTAACTAAGTGGATAACAGTAAAAACAAAATTAGCAACTTTTCTGAATCATAAAATATTTAATAAGGTATATTTGGGGGGGGGATATATTGTATATAAAATTTCAGATCACAATATGAAGCGATTTGAACCCTCTCCAAGCTAGCACTGCCTTCAAATGCTGTGTAGATGTATTGCCACTGATACAAGACCTACTAAAAGCATACAGTTTAACTAATACAGAAGTGGCTTTTTTATATGAAATATTTTTTACACAACTAGAGTGTCTTGAATACCCTCTTTAAGTGCAAAAAACACAGATCACTTTACACTAATGCAGCAACAATGCATTCATATTGTTCTCATTAGTCATTAGTAGTCAACTTGCATAAGATACAAGAAAAGCACAATGAAGCTCACAAAAATAGACTAAAAATCAGCCTGTTCTTGCAAAAAAATACAGCATAATAGAAGAAAAAGACAAAAAAGGATTATGCACACCACAGAATTTGCTGTTCTTTAATCCAGCTGGCTTAAGTGCTGTTTCTGGGGGGGGGGTTGCCATTTTTTGCAGATTTTTTGTTTTGGTTTGTTTTGTTGTCTGTTTTTAAATCAAACCACATGGACCAGGCACAACTAATATTCATGAGGCAGTGTGTAGCTAAAACTTAACTAACTTTTTGTCATCCCCACAATTTATTTTCCTCTGTCCTGAGGTAGTTACAGAAAACAAAAAAAATCATAAATTAAGCATCAGCTAGGCCAGTAAGAGCTGAGGCTTTTTTTTTTCCTTTCTTTAAAAACTATTTGTTAACTCGCCAAAACTACCCTTGATGTTAAAAGACAGCTGAGAATTAAGAGTTCTCACTACACCAAAAAGATGGCTACAAGGGGAAGAGGGTTAGCTGCTTCAAAATGTGTCAATATACTGAGTCCCATCGAGCTGGCTGGTCCACTGCTGAATTTCCCATTTTTATTCTCCTTTACTCTCTATACAGTCACTGGAAGAAGTTCAGAAGGATCTGAGCACATCATCGTCCTTTACTGTAACCAGGGAAGAACTGGTCCAGTAGTGTCTGCAGGATCTTGTTGGGAACCATGGTGTAGCCCTTTCCCAGGTCATAGCGGCAGGCAGGGCAGGTGAAGACTTCTGCTCTGAAGGAGCGCTGTAAACAACTCTAGGACATACAAAGACAGAGAAGTAAATTGTGAGGTCTCTGTTTCGGACTGACACCTTAACCAGCAAAAACTGAGGAGCCACTGTAAACCAGAGAGGCAGTCTGCTGTACTACCACGAAAAAGGAAGTCACTACAAAGCCCTCTGGTGTCTACCTCTGCCTCTGTGACTAAAACGTCCTAACAAAGGGCCTCTGCTCTGGGCTGGGATGTGAAACACTGAGCTTGAGAGGAATTAAAACAGATCACTACTGAGATTCCCCCTTTGCTTCCACTAGTGCCTTCCTGTGAATCACAGGCATGCCTGCAGCTTCCTTCTAGCTTCACAGTTAAACTGCTACACACCTGCAAGAGGAAGCTGTGCACAGCAGGCTTATTTTTTATGTAACAAACTCCATCCACCTCATCAGATGAGAATCAGTTAAGCCTTAAAAGACTCACGCAGAACAGTACAATCTCTAACACATTAGCAGTGTTAATGCTCTCCTTACTGTGTTATTGCGGGCTCCAGATAGCCCAAGCATGTGAGGTGAGTATCAGAAATTTATCAAGGCAGATCTGTGCCTTGTGTACTATAAAACTATAAAACTACTCCTTAAAACGTTACCGGGTTATTATTTTTTATTTGAAAATATTTACTGATATCTTCAAATTTTGGGCATTAGGATTTTGTTGCCATGCAGCTTTCTCCTCTCCATGGTTTTCCAGTTTCCATAATTCTAAATACTAACCCTTTCGTAACAGTTTTTCAAGGAGCCACAGTCATTCTATGTGTGCAGGCCTTCCATAACAACGCAGTCACTTCTACTGGAGTGATAATCTTTTTGAACAATGAACTTGCATTATCAGATACTGTACTAGGATAATAATAGTCTGAGTTCTCTTATGCTCGTAGGCAGAAGTACTAGGTATGGCAGGAACAGTTCAAGTATGCACAATCCAGCGCATGACTGTGTACACACCTGTGCTACAAAAATGAATTCTAGTACAAACTGGATTTCAAACTCCTTATGTTATATCCAGCTGACCAAGATTTTAAGATACATGAGTTATAAATTGACTTCTGATCTCCTACTAAACATAAACAATAACAAGATAACATAATTTACTCTGAATAAGCCCAAATCATTTTCTTGTATTTATCCTTCATCCTCTCAACAACTCAATAAGAGTGTTACACGATTAAAATTATTCCTTACCTATGTAAGATTAAATTTTTGTTAATGTACTCGTGGACCAAACTAATTCCTAGTGTAATTCCACTGATTAATAAGGAATGACAGCAATGGCAAGCTTCACTCATTTCTATGAGGAACTACACTAAACATACTTTCACGCTTTATTACATAAAATTCAGGTTACACAGCTATCACTGAATGCAAACTTCTTGCATGCTTTTGCTCAGAATGTTAGCCAATAATTACTGTCTTTTAAACACATATGGCTTTGGTGACTGGTGTCTCAGAGCCAAGAAAACAGCCCAGAGCAAGACCAAGTTTATTCTTACTTTACAGACGTTGTGGAGGCACTCTGTTGTCACTGGCTGGTAAACCAGCTCCTGGCAGCAGACACACATAAAGGATTGTTCCAGTTTCTTCAGAAAATTCTAGTGTAGGGCAAAGGAATAAAAGAGACAAATTCTATTACAGTTCTTGTAAATGCCACTTATTACATAAAGACGATGATGAACTTCCAGAAGTTCTTGAGTCCTACATATCCATGACTGCAGCTTTCTTAAAGTAACCAGGAAGCAGGTCCATAACTGCTTAATTTCTCTCACCTTTCATAAGTCATAGAACTGATGTTTTAAAGATTATTTACTTGTTGGCAAAGGTATTTTTATAAAAAAAATTAAGCAGACGGGAGGGCCCCTCGTGCCTGATTCTTAACATAGGTCAGGAAAGTCAGTAGTTGTGTTTAGTAACTGCTGGTAGAGATTTTGCATGTCCCTGAAAGATCTCTGCTTCTACGTCAAGGGAATTTCTGCTAAGAAAGGCACTTACGCACCTCCTCCTGTGCTTATGGATTATGGCTCACCTCTATCCTCAGGCCAAATTCTCTGCGGTATGTAAATACAGCCTCCCTGTTTTATCAGTCTTCTCAGGGCATCTCTGAGGAATGTCAGCACACATTTGTATCAGGTGTTTTACACACACAAGCATACTTATCTCTGGCATGTCGGTGATCTCCAAATATATCAAGAATACAAGCTTGGGTATAGAAAAAAAGTGCAAATCTCCCGGTAATCTAAATACAGTTCCTTGTAATACTTCTTAAAATATGAGATTTACTTTAAAGCACATTTTATTTAGTTAAAAGGGAAGGTGGTTGTCTCAGGCAGCAAGACTTAAGACTTTCACAGTAGCGACCCAAAGCTACCAATGATTCCCACTGCCTTTAGTGGCAACCAGATGGACATCTTAATAAAATTATGGGTAGGAATCTGTAGAAAAATGACTTCTCAGTAACCCAACCACTTTTAAATTATTGTTTTCTCCTTTTTACAAACACCTATTTCTAACATTTGTCATCATGCACAATTTTAAGTGGTGAAATTCCTTCTAGTCATTACAGATACTCAATAGAAGACAGGTAACAGTGAATAACTTCACACAGTTCATACACAGTGACAACTGAAACAGCATTATATCAAAAACTAGTACTGTAAGTGGAAGAATAGGGAATTACACATCCTTTTATATTACAGAAACACCATAAATAGCAACTGGTAATTTGCAAATAAACTGATTGTGTACATCCATTTTCAGATACCATTTTCCAAGCAATGGTTTGCTTTTTGCTAAGTTAATTTTTACCAAGTTATTTTAACTTCTTAGCGCCTTGATTTCTTCTGCACAACAGCTAAATAACTGTGAACTTGATACTGGTAAGACTAATTATCACTGAAAAACATAACATTTCAGGAGATACTCCTTTTGTGGACTTATACTAGTGTCTATGTGGTCTTCTATCTTGAGCTTTTGTTCTATTTTTTTTTAATTGAGGGGGAGGGAAGTATTTTCTCTCCTACATGAGGTTCCCTCTCTACAACGTGGGATAATCTAGGTTTGCATGACAATATCTTCATATCTAAATCTGAAGAAGAGAGTATTTTTATCTTTTTAAACAAAGCAACCAAGCTGTATTTTCTGTCATAAAATTATTTTCTGTCTGCACAAAAAGTTTTTAGTGACTAGAACCATCTTCCTTCATGTCTGATTTCTCACACTGGCAGAGCACAAAAATAGATTTAGAATTTCAGAGAAAACACGCTTCCTTCAAAAATGAAAAAAACCCCCCAAAAACCTAATCCCAACTTCAAAATGTTTTTTGAGCCAGAAAAGATCTCTATTATGTTTGTAAACTGAGCCATCAACAGCAAATTGTGCAAGTGAGGGTTATTTTCTTGAAATCAAAGTCTTACAAATAAAAATAATGTTAGACATAGTCTGCATTCAGCAAAAGTTCAACAAGCAAATTACGTTTTAAGAGAGACTCAAGATTTCTCCTAACAGTCTGAAGAAAAGGTAAACATTAAAAATTATGCATGCAGCAAACATACTGGTCCTTCCTTAAGAGAAGCAAGTACTTCATCCCACAGTTTCTGGTTCATACAGTCTTCTCTAATCAGCCATTGCTGCTCTTGGGTCAACTGGAAAGCCTCTCCTTTCCCTCCATCTCCCATCCTCATGGCTTTGGGTGTATTTGTAGGTTCCTCTATACCTGCTTAAGATTATGACCATCAGACGCAATAACAAGAGTGTTAGTCTGAACTAACAGAAGAGGGAATACAAAAGTGTTTCTAGAAGGCTAAACATGAATTACGCTCATGAAGTGCGGCAATCAAATCTCTACTCCAATTCATACCGTTCTGCATTGTTTTACACTGCAACACAGCTGCACAGAAGACTGTTCGTTTTTTCACAGAGGTTAAGAGAAAAAACCCTCCATAAGAGTAGCAATAAGATCCCTACACTACTACTTAACTACAGAGCACGTGCTTATCAAATTACATTAGTATTCCAAATAATTTCACTCTTACACAAAGTCTTCATGCTACTGACTGTTTTAACAGACGTAGCATGATGGACTTCGCTGACGAATGCTAAAAACGTAAAAAGAAATACCATCATCAATTGTCCTTTTCTGGTTTCCATTACTCTGGCTGGTTGGCTCCTGTTTGACGGTTTGCTTTTTAACCTTATCTTTCTTCTCCTTACTAGCCATGGCTTCCAGATAACCTTCTGGATACTAAAATAAAAAAGCATAGATTTAAAACAAAACCCAACAGCATACAGGAATACCTAAATGCTAACAAGACTAATTTCTAAAAGACTTTAAAACCCTGTGACTACGTATTAAAATAGCTACAAAATAATTTTTTTAAACCATACATGAAGAAGAAAACATTTAAATTAGTAACTATTATTAAATAAGTGTAGTCAAGTCGAAAATAATCTAATCCAGCCTTAACTGTATTAAAAGGAACCCAATATCCACATTTATGTCCTTACAAGTATACAAATCAGTTAGGCAAAGCTGAAGATGACAGTATGTTGTAAGATATACCATCGCCTTGCTGAGAAGAGAAACACTACGTTAATTCTTTCCATCTTTCATGGATTCTGCAATGCTCAAGTCCTCACAGGTCAGTTTATTTCTGTGCATGAAGTACACTATCCATACAAACTCCTTAGTCATACAAGGAAAAAAAATACATAAAAATGCACAGGTTTTCCAATTCTCACACTGACTCAGCTATAACAATAGTTGCTTGTAGAAATTCTTTTCAGCCTAAGGATGATGAAATTGGATCCAAACTCTTAATTCTCCGATCCATATAAGCAAAATAACTTGCTGCTATGACAGAAAGTTTCATCCACCATTCCTTCTGCTGTGTCACTATTATAGGATTGTTTCAGTCTGCACATAGTCTGTAGTAGGTTTTGGCATTAAATCCTGCCACAGTGAAGTACAAGAAAAGAAATTAGGCTTTAATTTAACTGATTGCTATTTCTCAAATTTGTTTACTATAACTAAGAACAAATAACTCTGTGAGTCCTGAATCCAACCTGTACGCTCAGACCAAGTTTCTTTGACCGCTCTATTCCTTCTGAAGTCCAAGGTGCAGGCTCAACATCATCTCTCCTCAGAAGATAGCGCCAAACTAAAAATCCACATTTTCCAATTTCTGGCCAGTATTTCACCACCTAAAGAACAACATAAAACTATTGTCATTATTTTATCACAAGTCAAACACATGCATACAGTTATATTTAACTGTTCAAGTAAAAACGGGAAGACCAATTTATACATTACTATTATGCAGCAGCTCTTCCCTCAGAAGATACAGTGCTCTTAAAATCCACATACACTTATTTCAGATGCTGAAAAGTCAATAAACACATAAAAAGCTAGCATACAATCAGAAGGAGTGAGGAAATAATTTGTTTTCCAGGTATGAATATGACTCCGTAAGCACATATAAAAGAGCTTAAATATTCAATTTTATAGATCCTATTATGGATTATGTTCTATTATGACTACTCGGAATAAACTAATCTCAGTTCTTGGTAGAGTAAGATAAGGCTAAAAAGCTATCACAGAGAAAAAAAGAATTATTTCTTTATGTAATAATGTGGAATTTGCAATGTAACACATATGAGTTTTTTGAAACAGCTTAAGAAAAATATTATGTTGCACTCAACAGAAATCAGAATACCTTATAAATGCCATCATATCTGTTGCCTTCCTCTGGGGCATACTTGCTGATTCGCCGTCCTTTTGAACTGCGTACCACTCTGACTGGCTTACCAGCTCTCCAGTTCTTAGATTCCGCTCCATTTTTGTCATCCAGTGGGGCATCACAGTTAAGGGCCAATGCCCTAGAAAGAGATTTAAAATCTTCATAAAATAGATTGCTTCACACAATAGGTTTTTGATAATTATTGTAATTAAGTCAAATCTACTTCCCTTGACTAATTAAGCTTTACTGAGCAGCATAAAACTTTTCAGTATATTTTTAACAAGTGCAGAACCGATGGAAGCAATGAGAGAAATGCCACTGTATATGATAAGAAAAAAATGGGAATATCAAATACATAGTTGTTATGGTTCCAGGAAAAAACCCAACTGCTATTGCTAAATAAAGCAAACTAATCCTTTTAGATTTAATATTCTTAATTTTTAAAAAGAACCCCTTCCCCACTGAGGGAATTAAAAGAAACCTGTAACGGAAGTCAAACTTCTCCTATCACTGTTCCCTATTAACTGCAGATTTTAAGGCTTAGTTGTGTACACAAAATCACTATCATGAAAAATACTATAGAAAAAAAAAAGGTACACAGTAGCCATCTCACAAATTCTAACTAAAATCTCTCACATAACACGTAAATTGCCTCAGCGTAGGAGTTAAATAATAGTAGCTAACTCAAGGACAAGTAAACCCTTTTATCCACAAACTACAAGACCCTCTTCTAGAAACGCAGAGCAAGACAGGATGAATACCTACCTATTAGACCAAGCTGCCATAGCGAACTTTATTTCTACTGCTGTAGCCTGATTTGACCAAGGATTGATTTTTTTTCAGAATCAGACTTAAATCAACCAAAGGATCTCAGAACAGAAAAAATAATACGGTTTACAAAAAGCCACGGTACAAGTATAAAACCTACGCTGTTCAGAACAGTCAGAGGCATATAATGCCGACTTTTAAAATGTTTCTTATATAAAAAACAAGACTTAAAAAAGGAAAAAGATCTGGACAATCAAAAACAGTATTGACTCAACTACATTGTAAACCTATTGCTTAAACTACTTTTATCTTCCTTCTCTCCTTGTTCTTGTTTACATCATGCCTCCTCTCTCCCTTTCTCAGCAGCTAAGTCAGGTTTTGACTCCCTCTCCTCTAAGCATTACCAGAAAACTTGAAAGAAGCCTCCTCCACTCTGCTTGACAGCAGCAGGTCATACTGAAAAGCAGAGCTGGCAAAGAAAAAGGTCTCAGTCAATCTCAGAACCCCACAGGTGTTAAGTGGTCAGCTGTATAAGAGATTATGCTCTAAGAGATAGAAAAGGAAGAAGAATTCTGTTCAGACAGGCTTTCAGAGGATGCAAAACCACTTCAAGCAGATGTCTAATTCGTCTTTTAGACACACACTTTCCTTTTCAAGCACCTGTTTTTGATAAAGCAATACCCTAATTCCTTGTTTTTCATGGAAAACTATCATGGAAGAAAGGGCTAGCAAAATAGGAAATGTTTCTTTTAACCTGGGAAAACGAACATGCTTTTTTCCAAATTAAATTTCGTACTTGATTTAACCATTGAAAAAGAAACTTTAAAAGGGGGACACAGAATAGAAAACGTCCACCCAAGAGTTTTGACAAACTTCTCATTAAATTAAAACAGAGTACTCTAAAGAAAATTGTAGGAGAATTTCAATCACAGAGATGACTACTAGCTGCACTGGAAACATAGCAATGTATTTCACTGAGGTGCGTATTTCTTTAAATCAACAAAACATAATGCTTGATAAAATGCCTCCTACCAGCAAGAAGCACCACTGCTTACAAAACCACAATGTATAGGAGTGAATGAATATCGCAAAATACTGGTTTTAAATTAAAGAAGTATAAGCCCGCTACTTGTTTTGGAAGACTTTTTAATATTATCTTCAAAACTTACCTATTCATGTGTGTTAATGTCTGATCAAATGAATGCTCTCCAATCCTTTTATTTCCAGAAAGATCTCTACCTCCACTGCCAGTGTAAGTGAATTCATCTCCTCGATCCTGTGCAAGAATATTATCCTTCATTTTAACACTCCAATATAAAGCAACTTGATTTAAAAATATTACTTCATTTATTCTATCTACTCAGACAGAGAGAAACTATAGTACAAGGCATAGAAAGATGTGTTTTCAGTTTCAGTGTCACTGTCCTTCTAGTAGTTGTGCCAGCAAATAGCTACTGGTCTGGACATAACACATTTCACCAGAAATGTGCCTACCTTAAAAATCTGAATGTAACATTCTCCAGAAAATTGCCTACCTTAAACTATTTTGACTTTTACATCTTTAAAAAGCTCTTTTTGCGGAAAAAAAATAAATCTGAGAAAGGGAATATATTCTAGCAAGTGGTTACTTGCTCTAGAGCTTTCATTTAGTTTACAAGAATATCATGTTTGTTAAAGTCCACCATAAATACCTTAGGGGATCACTACAGCTTGTGCAAGGGGCTAAACACTAATAAATAGAAACTGCTGTGCCTTACATACAAGGCAGGTGCTTTAATAAAATAATAATCTCAGCTCTTCTGAAGTAGGAAGAGCTAACATATTCGCATTCTGTAAGCTGATAAAGTTCCATATTTCCTACATAGAATTTTCTTTAAACTGAAAGAAGGTTGATAAAATCTTCTGTCATGAACCACAAAAACAGTCAAAATCTAAATACACATAAGTAAACCCAGCATTAGAATTTTCTTTAGGAAATATGTCACAGAAATTCATCTAACTTCTAGCAAATTCCGGTATTTATACAAAAATTTATATTCCACAAATATATTTAATATGATATTTCTTTGGAGATGCAAATTTTGCACAAAGCATGAAGTGATACTGGAAGATAAACACATAATGAGAAAATTCTGTTCATATGAATTTTTGTAGCAAAAATCTGAACATACTTATACTCAGCAGTAAAATTCAGTCAATGTCTTACCACTGTTTAAAGTCTGACATTACTAAGGATCCAGTGCAAGACAGTTACAGATATTTGACTGACAACAGCAGAAAAAGAGAAAGTTAGAAAGAGAAATGCTGGTTGAAGAAGGCCGTAGATTAATCATAGAAATTATGCTTATTTTATTCTGTGGAGTGAAAACCTAACAGAAATTCAGCTGCAGTATTAGAGTATTTCTCATTCAAAATTTATCTAGACATAGTGCCAAGCAGCAAGTGTTACGAAGTTAAAAAAAAACTAACAAAGACATGTACAACCTCTGGTATATCCTTTCTCAAAACAGTCTATTTACTCTGCTCAATGAATCTATTAAAAATAATAGAAATAGAGTGATGTTGTACGAGGAGATACATGAAACAACTTCAAAAGAATGAAAGACTGACAAGAACTATTTACTAAAGAAGGACATAAATTGCATAAAATAAGGTATCACAGCATTGAGCTACGTTTGATTTTTCAGTGACTGCCAAGGCAATGCACAGATCACAGGAAGATGACTGTGATAATAACAGTATGAATAGGGATGGATTTGCTTTATGAATCAGATCCATTCAAGCAAAATGTATTTTAACACTGAATAAGAAGCTTGTGCCAAAAAGATGTATCTTGGAAGGTTGTGAATCCATAATGATTTGGGTTTCATTACAAAGAAGAAACTGAACACACGTTCATGGTGTGTCAGAGTGGGGAAAACAGCTAAGGGAGTTTTTTAGCACAGGCAGAAATAAACTGAAGCTGAAAATGACTGTGTCTTCTTTTTAAAACATAATGTTGAGACTAATATTGAAATAATATATATATAAAAGAATGTAAAAAATAGTGAAAGGACAGAAACACTATATATGCAAGCAGGATGGAGAAAATTATTGACAAGACAGGTTCCCAACAAAGTGTTTTGTTTATCAACAACTAGGAAGAACAATCTTCACACGAAGAAAGTATTCAACAGACTTTTTTTTTGCCGTAAGAGACACACATAAATAAAGGACAAGCCGATATAGACTTATGTAAAAAAAACTCAAATGAGAAGGCATAAATGCAACAGTATTCATAATTACGTACTACAACACACTTCTATGGAAAATGAGTTAAATGTAAAAGGGCTAAAACCATCAAACTTCCAATGTCTTCAGAGAAAGACCAAGTGATCCTCTGGGCACTACTCTTTAACCACAGACAACCAGAAGACTTCATACTTGAAAAGACAATTCGGATATAAAGCCTATGCCTACATGCTCATCTCTTGAAGAGATTCCACACTTGGTAAGTTATATTTGCTTCTCTTTAATTATCCAAGTGTTCAATGCACAAATAGGCAGTACTATACAGATATGGGGGAAAACCAGAAATCCAGGGGAAGGAAAATGGAGGAGAAATGGAACAATTATGGATCATGACTGTTATAGGTCAAATAACAAAAAGATGGCATCTTTTAACATCCCCCAGCATAAGGAAGGCTCATTTTTGCTTTACTTCCCAGAACTACATTCACTTATTTTACATCAGATAAATAAAACAAAAAAAAAACTACCAAAAAAACAGATTGCAGGGAATAAATACACACAGTTTCCAGAATTGGAGGGAAATGACAGAAACCTTGGCATACTGGAAGATGACCTGGACTGGATTAAGAAAAACAGGGAGAACATTCAAATCTCTCATATGAGAGCAGCTCTTAAACACAGAGAGGAAGAAAGCTCAGGAGAACATGTAATGCCTGTATAGAGGAGATGGCAAGAATAAGGGAGGCACAGACACAAAGTCCTCGGAATAAATGTGGATATGAATACAGCCCATGACAAGAAGCGAACAGAGGCTACTGGTAGTCTGGAAACCTAACAGGAGACCTACAGAATCTGCTTCCATCATGGTTATGGTATTTTACTTTAAAACTGGAGTATACCAGGTGTATTCACACAACTTACTACCTGGAATCTTGTGATGAGTAACGACTCACTAAAATAATTTCTCAAGAGCTTTGAGTTCTGTGTCTATAGACAGGGCAGGAATATGCTACCACCTATACGTGATAAAATAAAGTTAGAAAGCTACTTTTTTTTCCTCAGGAGGATCCGAAAACAGAACTTAGGATACTGATACTGCTGGAAATTTTTGCATTCAACAGTTAAAAAAAAATTTGGCAAAAGAAATTACTGATGTCTGTATTCTTAAGAAACCTACTAACTGTCAAAAAGCCTTATCTTCTCTTCCTTCTTCCTTTACTACATTTTCCCCATTTTCTTACCTTAAAATACATAATTCTGCCATTTCTTTTCTGCTTTCCACAGCTTAATTCAACTTCCTTGCACCAAAACTGTCTTTCAACACCTACTGAGACCACTGCTATTCGCTCCTCTCTTAGTGCCTTCTGTATGTCTCTTTTTCTTATGGTGTCTCCATAAACGTATTTCGAAACTGTCCTGTTTGTAAAGTTCGATCATGTTACAGAGCAAATGAACTTCAGTCACTGTAGCACCGACCCAGTATCTCATACTGAGGCATTTGGGTGGTACATGAGCCTGAAGCTCTAGTACTATAAGCCAGTCAGCCTCTGACATACAATATAAGCAGATGGTCACTTCTATTAAATCATATTCCGCTATTTCATAATCAGTTCTAAGTCTAGCAAAGAGGTAATGGAGAATGAAAAACAGATTTTGAACCCCACCTAAGCACTCAACTACGTTATTTCTATGTGTTGCTTCTATGCAGCAGCTGACAGAAGCATTAGCTACTTCAGGTTACTGAAATATCATCTAAATGGGACAGCTCCCAGTTATCTTCTCTCTTCATTAACACCACTGGTATTGTATTATGCTCCAAATTCTAAGTTTGGTCTCAACATATACACAAAAGTTACATTTATCAGTCAGTAAAATACAGTATTGTGAACATAAACGTATTTTCTTAATGGGCCTCAGCCTTCAGTCTGTACAAAAAAAAAGTCCCAAAGGTTCATCAGTTCATCAACCCCTCGATTCATCAGTTTCACCTTAGTAAAATATGACCAAAGAAAGCTAGTATTTTGATTAATATGACAGAGCGAAAGAAAGAAGCACTAAACCTTTTTAAATGAAGCTGTTAAATCCAAGACAAATACTATCAGACAATTACATTTGAAAGGATTTTCTTTCTCTAGCAGTAGAGATACCTAAAACTGAAACATGTCAACATTCATCTCCATTAAAGTCTCAGAAGTCTATTTTCATGTAAGTGCCGACAGAATGGTCTACCTGCCCAATTGTCTGATTTATTTTTGATAGTTTTGTGGATTAGCACTGCAGTAGAAGGTACCAATCAAAAAGGAAGGGTTAAACTATGTATTTCATTTATAAATCAAAAAAACCCCACCACAATTGCCCCCGATGGCATATTCCACCACAATGAAAACACTTAACCATTTCAGTGTTAGCCAGTCTGGATCTCTGAACAGTAAGATAGCTTCAAAGCAGGAAAATGCCAAAGGTGGCTAAATAGGGATGGTCAACATTTTGAAAAATAACTGCCAATTGAAAGTACTAGACAACTAGTGTATGTGCACTCCTTTCTTAAGTTTTTTCATATTCAGTGCCACAATGGAGAATTACCAGACCTTTAAACTAAACATTAATATGTCAGTAACTCAAGCTACCCACTCTGGATTATTTATCTTCTGCTCTGTTCAAAATCAGTTCTAACTTGAGAGCAGGTTCACTGAAGATACAACACACAGAAAACCTCTTCTGGGCAAAAACACTTTTCTGTAGTGGAAGATCACTGAGAAGATACAACAGTTTTTTGAGACATGTTTTTTTAATTACAGTTAACTTTATCTGTTGGAGATCACTGGCTGATGATACTTCTGAGAGCAAAAAATTCTGCTATTAATTAGTCTACTATAATGCTAGTTAAAGCAAGGCAGGTGAAATCTTGCCTGTCTAAAAGATATGCACTTACTATTTGACATTCATTCATATATGTAACTAGAATTTGCTACTTTCATCTTTCTTTCACAGAATCATTAAGGTTGGAAAAGACTCCTAAGATCAAGTCCAGCTGTCAAGCCAGCACCACCATGACCACTAAACCACGTCCTGAATGACACGTCTACACAGTTTTTTAACACCTCCAGTGATGGCTACTCCACCACTTCTCTGGGCAGCCTGTTCCAATTTCCTGTATTTAAATAAATGCTTAATATAATTAGAGTTTATTTTTATAAATATTCATGTAAAACGTCCAGCAAGAAACTCATTGTTTGACACAATAAAGATCAGTATAATTATGTTGATCCTTCAGAATTTTATGAATTGGTTAATGATACTCCGTATATTGGACTAACATGAGTACTGTCTCTTGAAAATGTATGAATTTCAGAAAAAAAGTATTTCAGTATGTTCACACAGAATGTTTCTTGGAAAACATGAAATATAAAAAAGAGGTAGGTAGTGCTTTGATAAGCATTTGCAACATTGATTTCTACTATTTAATCTGCTTTATTGTGTCAAATGAGTTCCTCAATGCTTTATAAAAAACCAGATATGTGAAGTCCTGCAAATGAACTTTGGAAGAGCACAGACAGGAGCAGCATAGGTGCAGATTCCACACCGCATTATGGAAGAATCTTACAAATAGACTACTTTGACAGATGTAGTGCTAGCAGTAAAAATGATGAAGAGAATCTGTGTAACAAAACAAAGCTTTGCAGAATGTGAAAGTAATTCTGAATATACTGCAGGTATGGAGGAGATAATGAAATTCATAAAATAATGCAAGAAGGTATTTTGTAGTTTTTATTAATATTTTGTATGGACTGAGAGCTAACAATACGGAACAACAGAAAAGATCAAGAGGAGACTTGCAGAACAGGAGCTGTCCTGCAAATAAAAATCACCTATAAGAAAGTAGCATTAAAGCTACTGCCCTACAAATTATGTCAAGTACATCCTTAGTATTGTAGGTAACAAGAGTGGACAATTAACACTGAGGGTGAACAAACACACATCTGAGTGAAAACTAAGACAGTTGGTAGCTGTCAGATAGTGACACAAATTTTTTCACTTTACATTGGAGCTCCAAGCAAGACCTAAATCAGCAGGGTGCTTAGATCTTTGAAATGCGATGGTGCTGGAAAACAGCAACTTGGCATCAAGCATCAGGTTTTCAGCTACGTATTCAATCTAGGTGACTCACAATACAAAGACTCTCAGTGTAACAGCTGTAATGAACTTGCAATGTTGGACTGTCAGTGCTATAAAACAAGTGTGAAAATTGAAAAGGAACTGTTCCCTTGGTAACATAGTCAGAATGTCATGATAATTCAGAAAAATTATACATCGTACTACATCTCTTTTTTACCAGAGCTCACACTGGATTCAGATGATGCAGGTAAGCCCAGCAAACTGGTTAACTAAGCCGCAGGTCATACACACATATCTAGGCAAACTGCTGGTCACAGTGGTGTTTGGATCTAAAAAACCTTGTCTCAGACATGAAGTTCCAACTGCCACTTGCCTTTGCTTTAAAGCCATTTAAGTATGCAGTTCGCTAAAGCACTGGCACTGCACCTTTGGCACTTGTGGAACTGATCAATTGCTTTCACTGTACAATGCACACCAAACAGAGGTTCTGAAATGCTGTATCTTCACACAGGGCTCAGGCAAATCTAGTGAGCAAAATGCTGTTTATTTGAAATTAGACTATTGCAAACAAGTGGAGTAACAGTTGTACTGACACCTTGGGACTGATTACTCACACACAAGATTAATGCAAAAATACAGAACATTTAAAATGAACTGCACTGCAAGCCATTGCATGAAGTGGTTTGTGAATGCTATGTTCCAGGCACTGAATGGGTTTGGTATAAAATATCAATGAACCTAAGTGATGAGTATAATTGTCTGGGGTCCTTTTTACATCATTAGAGATGCTATTCTCTTTGATATTCTCAGAATCTTTTACAAGAGAATGCAAATGATCACAGCAGATATTATACTCCAAGAGATTCCAAGTTTCAGTTCAGAGATCTCCTGTATGATTCTATATACAAAACCACTTAAAACAGAAATAATCTTTGTAATTAAGAAGGAGGTTAAGCTTCATGTGCAAAATGATTTCACCCAATGCTCATCTTCTCAATCTTGAGGGCAGACCCTGTACTGACAGAATTTGTCATTACTGAGCACTCCAGTACATTCAGAATATCTCAACTTGAGCAAAGCTGCTGGCAAGTCTAGGTCTGCAGAACTGCAGGTTCCCAAAGGCATAGCCTAAAAATGGCATGATCTGAAAGCAAGGCAGTGAATTCTATTTCCTGGAATATATTTTTGCAATTAGTTTACCTCAGTAGTGAACTGTTAATTTAAAGCCACAAGCAGAGCATTAAGATGGCACAGGTCAGCAGCATGCATTAATGATGCATAAGGTTTATAAACATACAGCAAAGTAGTCTTCCAAAATTTATCAATTTTGTAAAAGCTTATACACAAGTACCTACATCGTACTACTGAAATTCAAGTATGAGTCACCTGTCTTTTCTTGTTCTCATACAATAAACCGACTAGATGTAAGCAGAGGATCTTATCTCAATTTTTACTTAAAAGTCATTTGTGGAATGAGATACTGTACTTAGGGTACTTAAAAGTATAGAATTTGATTTTTCTGTGGATATTCTTACATGGATTTAATTCTGACCTTTTCCATAAAACAGGGAAAATTGAAGTAAACCGGGAAATAAAATCTGGTATATGAAAAAAGAGCTGAAGAAAAACTGATTCCAAAAATGCACTTAAAACCCCTCCCCTTCGTATTGTTAGTTTAGAGAACTGCAAAAAAGCTGACATTCATCCAAATTTTAGGATGTCTTCTGCAATATTTCTCCTCCACTATGACTCTTCAAAATTATATATGTAATCTAGACTATGACAGTACTTATGTCCACAAAACAGGACAAACACATGCCAAGGATCCAATAAGTTTATTAAATATTTTGAATCGACTCATTACAGCAGCAGAACAAGGGGACAGCAGTATCACCACCAAAGAGAGTCTGCAGCATCCCAACATAACAGGTACAACTACTGAGTAACAGTGTTCTTAGGATCCACTGGCTAAGGCTCCTAGAGCTTGGGTTGGGCTTGACTCTAAGGGTGTAATAATGTATCCCAACACCAAGTACCTCCTCACGTGACTTGTTCAAAAAGAGACAGCGTCTCCTTCAAAGGCAATACTCTGCAGCAGTAGTGGCTGGTAGGTGCTGTGGGAAAGAATATATTACATTACGATGCTATTTCAGATGCTTATTTCTTTCTCCAGTGCCTTTTTCCTTGTGATTAATAGCTATGAATGTTTTAAAAAAACCAGATTGCTTACTGCTTTATCCTTCACCTGATGCATGATTCAATATTCCAGCTGATGGAGCAGAACTACAGGAAGTGATGTACCCCATATAAGCATATTTAATTGCAGAAAATGGAAATCTATTAATAAATATATGTTGTTCAACAGCATGAGATGAAAGTTGGATTGAGGTACTGTTTTGTTGAGTGGCATAACTGCTTTAATCGCTCTACTTAGATGTTAACATCAAAGTAGATGTTTTTCCAGTGCATTTGCAGATCATAATACAAGATACTAGGGCTTTCCTAAGAAGTTCTGAAAGTGCTCATCAGCAGGAGTCAAGAACCTGCAGAACTTCACAGAATCAAGTAACATGTACCTTTTATTCTTGCTTCATTAAAACAAATGTATCATGTACTTAGAAACACAACAAACCCAAAGAAAGAGACATCTATCTGTCTTGAAAGCAATAAAAATCATGACCAAAGCAGAATATAAAACATAGTATTCGCATACAATTACACTATCAGATTTTAAACAATTTTAAATTCAGGCTCTGAAAGCCATTTTTCTGAAGTATGAGCATAAGCATTGTTTAAGAATGATCTGTTCATGCATTTCTCCCCCCAGTAGTAAAAACTATTCAGTTTGTAACCTTCAGTGTTTTTTTCACAATCACATTTGCATAAACATTAATTTTAGGATCAGCAGAAAATGTCTTTACAAACATTGATACATTAGAAAGGTAAATCAATTGCTTGCATAAATGACATACCACTTCATCTTCAAATCCTCCAGCTAATACAAGTGAATAAGCTCCATCATTACTGCGTCCATGGATTCCACCCACATGCGGTCTGTGAACACCTGCTTCGCTCACCTGGTAACAGAGAAAAGCCAGTTTTTAGCCCTTATTTCAAACAACCAGTCATCTTCAATTACTTTTAACAACTAAGTGTTAACCCAGAAATGCCAAGTCCACCGCTAAACCACGTCCCTAAACACCACATCTACACATCTTTTAAAAACCTCCAGGGATGATGGTGACTCAGCCACTTCTCCTGGGCAGCCTGTGCCAGTGCTTGACAACCCTTTCAGTGGCATTTTTCTTAATAGCCAAACTAAACCTCCCCTGGTGCAACTTGAGGCCATTTTCTCTCGTTCTATCGCGTTATATGGGAGAAGAGACCAACCTTCACCTCTCTACAACCTCCTGTCAGGTAGCTGTAGAGAGCAGTAAGGATTCCCCTCAGCCTCCATCTCTCCAGGCTGAACAACCCCAGCGCCCTCAGTTGCTCCTCACAGAACTTGTGCTCTAGACCCTTCACCAGTTTCATTGCCCTTCTCTGGACACGCTCCAGCACCTCAAGTGTCTTTCTTGGACGGAGGGGCCTAAAACAGAACACAGGGTTCGAGGTGCGGCCTCACCATTCTGTACTTCCTACAATGATTGCCAACTTCATTGTTTCAAAGTCAAGTTCTTTATTTTCACTTACAGCTGTTTCCTTCCTACTGAAGGCACTGAGGTCAGACTGACAGGCTTGGTGAGCACTTCTGCCAGTTCCCTCACTATCCTCGGGTGGATCCCACCTGGCCCCACAGACCTGTGCGCGTCTAAACGGAGCAGCAGGTCACAAACCATTTCCCCTTGGATTACGGCGGCTTCATTCTGCTCTGTTTCTTCCAGCTCAGGGGGCTGGCTACCTGGACAACAACTGGTATTACCATTAAAGACTGAGGCATAGACGGCTTTAAGTACCCCAGACTTTTCCTCATCCTTTGTCATTTGCTTTCCTACTGCATCCATTACAGTATGGAGAGTCTCCTTAGCCCTCCTTTTGCTGGGCTTTGGCCCTTCTAATCTTCTCACTGCATAACCTCATAACATCCCTGTAGTCTTGCAGAGTTACCTGCCCCTTTCTCCAAAGGCTGTAAACTCTCTTTTTTTTTTTCTTGAGCTCCAGCCAAATCTCTCTGTTCAGCCAGGCTGGTCTTCCCTGTCAGCCCGTCTTTTGACACATGTGAATGGCCTACTCCTGTACCTTTAAAAATTCCTTCTTGAACAATGTCCAGCCTTCCTGGATTCCTTTGCCCTTCAGAACTTATTTCCAAGAGACCTGTCTCCTAAACAGGCTGAAGTCTGCCCTCAAGAAGTATAAGGTTGCAGTTCTGCTGACCCTCCTCTTTCCTTCTCTGAGAATTGAAAACTCTATCATTTCATGATCGTCTTCCCCAAGACAGCCACCAAACATCACACCACCCACAAATCCCTTCAGATCTTGACTTTGTCCTTCTTCTCATTCTGCCTCTCCCACTCCTGAACTCCTTTTCCAAAACTACACATTTAAGTAACTCCCATGAAAGTTTACATTCTTCTGCCATAGTCTCGTACTTTCATAATACAATACGTCACGTCAGAGGTCCATCTGGACAAAAATGCTGTCTCTTAACAGGTAAGAGCTGTACACAGTATGAAAAATGATACTTTCTTGTGCAGTTTCTCAGCATCCACCCTTCTGTGCCTTAGACTTCCTAAACTACTAAAAACTTTTGTATTGAAGAGAGAAAAGTACTACTAGCACTACTTTTGCTAATTTTGAAGTGGGCAGTGAACGTTTCTTTTTGTTTTGACATCTTTTTGAATTACAAAAGTATTGATCCCTAATCACTTTTTTCATACTATACATCACTTTGTAGCCATCTACACTACACCACACCACATTTTTAACATTCTTCCAGAATGAAAGGTCTTTTTGGTTGAATGAAAACCATTTGATTCCATTAATTACCCTGATTTTTATTCATAATAACAATATATTTTATTCTTCTGACTCTTCCTTTCACAGTAATTTAACACTTGATTCATATTTTGATTACTGTTGGGTATTAAGATGACGTATTTTCAATATTAGCTATTAGAAAAATACTTTCCTAAATAACAAGAATAAGTAGCTGAAAGTTCATTTCAAATTATACAGTTAGAACTGTTCTGCACCCCAGCTTTACTATCCACAACTTCAAAATATCACCTTACTTTATCAGCTATTTGCCATTTTTTTCAGACCATTTATAAGTATACTGAATAAAACAGCCCCACTATTGCACTCCTCTTTCCTGCTGTATCGAACATCCCTTCATTCATTACTCTCTCCCTTTTTTCATTTCCAGGTTTTATCAGTTAAATTTAGGTTTCTAGTAGGCGATGAACTCTGATAAGTAATTCACGTCACAGATGCTCTTCAGATGCTCTCTCCACAAGCATTACTTAATCAATTTCCTTCGAGGGAAAGGAGTGTTTGTGTCATAAAAACCTACACAAAACAGAAATAAAGAAACTACAGTCTAAATTTTCATAGATTTGCTGAGATAAAATCATTCCTCATGCAAAAGACTTGTCATATGAGAAATGTGTAATATAATATTCTATGCAGAAAATATTTTGATCCTTAAAAAAAAAGGATTAAGTACTTCATATAATTTGTACCCAGAACTAAGTAATTATGTAGAAATGGTAATTCCTCTTTGATGTCTAGCCTACACATATATATACCAAAATTAGCCATTCTCTACTTAATTTTCTGACAAAGGCAGTGCTCTAATTCTGTTCTTTTTTCCTACCAGCACTAGAAAGATCTGAAAACTATTAGCTTTTGTGTAACTAATGGAATTGCTAACAAAAAAGTGAACTAATAATTTTAATTATTGTTGAATCAGTGAAAACTTGATTTTGAGTTTGCGTAAGCAATTATAGAACCTTCTCTTACATATGTGGTTTTATATAACCTAGAAGCCAATAAAAGATAACTATTTAATTTAATGCCTTTCGCAAAAAAATTCTTCAAACACAGGAAAGGTCAATGAAATATCCCAAAGAATCAGAATTGAATCTTCCTCTTAATCAAGTAATTTTGTATAAAATTGCTGGTAGGATGAACAACATAATTTTACACTACAAAGTTAATTTGCTTCACACACTCCTCCCTGTTTGGTCCCCATGTGTTGCCTGCTCTAGCTGAGAGGCGTCCCTGCCCATGACAGGGAGGTTGGATTAGATGATCCCTAAGGTCCCCTCCAGCCTAGGCCATTCTATGATTCTATGAACTAAGGCTTTTATTGATGGAAGTGTGGACAATTGACCTGAGGTAAGAAAGGATCAAAAGAACTAGTTTAGGTTTCAACTGCTTCACTGTGATTTCTGCCAAGGACAGAAACTGAAAACTGTTACTAACGGGAAAATGTCTGCTGCTAACCATATTAGCCTTAAAACTTGCATGCCCTTCCAAATCCCGAATTCTTCACACAGTACTGGAATATACTACCATCAGAGGAAAATTGCCCATGAAGCATTCTCTTCTACCAGTTGAACAATAAAACATCTGTTTTCTTCTCATGATAAAGCAGGTGATGAAAAGTTCTGAAAACAACTCAGAAGAGACTTTTGATTCTTGGCTTGCCTCCCACAAGCAGTTTAAAATAATTGGTCTTATTCTTCTAAATAGGATGGAAATCAACTACAAATGTTTCCACAAGCAAGAGACAAAGAAGTAACTGATTTTGAAAATAAAGAAGTATGTATTCCTCAACTAAAACAGCAACAAAAAAATCGAAGATAAGCCAAAAAATCAGTGCTATAAGATAAGGCTGGGGAAAAAGGAGTAAGTACTGGGACAAAATGAAGCTGTCCTATCTTCCCTGTCCCTCTAGGTATTGGCACTGTTCTTATACAATCAAAATGTGAAATGGCCTGGGAAAATCAGCTCCACTCCCACTCCAGATGTGATTATTTTTCTGCTAGTTTTTTTACCAACCAAGTTTACCATAGAGTCCAAGAAATATTTGCAACAGAAAATATGATAGCGTTAAGAAACAGTAAAGGCTAAATGGACAGCTAATTTCAGTAGCAGTACAGGCTTACACTGGTTTAAGCTGTTCATCAGAATCAAAGATTTGAACATCCATTACATATGACCAAAAAAAACCCAGGGAGTCAATTTATAGTGATATGTAATGTTTTCAAAAACCACAGTTTCCATCTCCTAAGTGTGATAATCACTTCATGTGAAGTACACTTCATAAAATACTTGGCTCTAGTCACTAAGTATCCCACCAACATCCTAATGAAGACAGACTTCTTAGTAAGTTGTGTTGTAAAATCAGTATACTTCAACCTTGACTGCTATTGCATTACTTCCCATAATAGAATCATAAGGTATTTGATTTATTTAGTCCTGGTGAAAATGGCAGTTGTCAATCTAAGGGTATTTCAGTACCCAACCTATTCATCATTATATTTACTTACTTCAACTACAGCTAATATTGAAACAACATACCTGAACTCTGAACTTCCAGGTTGTCCCAACAGGAACACCAGGTATAGGTCCATAATGATTTGAAGGAACAATAGTGCATTCCTTAGTGCGACCAACACAGGCCATGCCCTAAAAATGCATCAGACAAAGTAGATTAGCACTATAATATTGAAGAGTATTTGAAAATTCAGTGCGTGCATCAAGAAATCTGACTGTTACAACAAACAAGTACTTTAAGATATGTTAACAATTGTTAAAAGGAGTGTAACTAAATAATACATGTTATGGGTTTGGGGAGGGATTTGGGTTTTCTTATGTTGTTTTTACCTCTAGTCTCCTTAATACGTCCACTGATTTAACTACCAGTAGATAGTGAGCAGGATTAAACATTGTCTTACTGTTGTGCAGCCCAGTACTGAATTTTGTGCAGTGCATATATAAGTAGAATTACAGATGTAGCACATACATGAACAATTAGAGTAACAGCTATTTCTAAAATACACTCTACCTTGCCCCAGTCTCTCTGGCTTTCAGTACTGGCAGATGGCATCTTTGCTTTCTTTTTACTCTGTTTGAGCTTTTCTCCAGCCTTTACAACTTCATTAGAATCATTTTTGCAGGAAGGACAATACCTAAAAAAAGGTTTTAGTAAATTCTCAATTACTTCATAGTAATGCCAATACATTTCTTGTAGCCAAAGTAGTGTAAATTTGTTTATCTTGACTGAATACTTCAAGCTAGCAAACATATACTAGTCTTAAGCAGCTGAAGCCTATGGCTTAAAAAATGAACCCAACATGAACAAATACTGTCAACTTTTAAAAAAGGGAATTTCGATATCTTTGAAAATAGAGTGCTAGAGGTGTAATATTTAACTATTCTTTCTCAGATGATATGTGAGAGGTCCCCATGTCCTCTGTATTCTTTCTTCATTCTGTCCTCTTTCATTTAGATCATGTAAAAGGGAAGACAGCTGAGATTAGACTATGCTTCTATCCAGTAGTCATGGTTTGGTTCTATGTCCTGCCCACTCCACCCTTATTTTTTGCTTCTAGTGCAATAAATTTCACTGCAGACAGCTCAGCATCAAACATAACCAAGGCATCATGTAGCATGCACAGCCACACACACACACACACACACGCTAACAAAAACACACACTCTCTCCCTCACTCCACAACACTGAAGCCACTTGGAATACATCACTGAGACTCCTTCCAGCTAACACAAAGCCATCCTGGTAAGAAAGCAGGAGATACTAGTATGCAGCGACTATGGCAGAGAGAGAAAGGCAGTACACTGTTCCTTTTGCTGCTTCTAATAACATTTTTATCCCACTCCAGGAATGC